GGGCAAACGTGGTTGGCTGATGACAATGTGCTGGCTCACTTTGAATCTCTTAAGTTAGAGACTAGTGAAACGGTATATTATACTGCTGAAGGACACTAACACTCTCTTGAAATATGCTGTGATATTTGGTGCGTCATTGTTCTTCTTAGTAACTTGTGCGATGCTTCTTTCATCATAACAGGGGTTTTCAGAAATTGCAGAAGATGAGCTTTTGAAAGATGGTGAAAGAGATGGAAGTGAGGTGCCTTTAGGAAAAATTATTAAACGCATAAAATCTCAGAATTCCAAGGCTAAAAAAGTGAAAAAGAACAAGGTTTCATCAGCTGATGCAGAGAATGCTGAAAATAGTGTTGATATCTTGAAAATGGTCAGGGATATAAATTTGGATAATTTGGAAAAACCTACTAAATTTGAGTCAAGCAATGGTCATGAAAATTCTCCAAAAAAGAATTTAATGGATCTAAAGTACCAAAAGGGTAACAAAAGAAAAGCTAGTGATGAAACATCTGTCTCAGTACCTAAACGGAGGAGGTCGTCATCCACTCACAGTGCTTCCAGATCAGCAAGGAGTACTTTAAAGTCTCCTTTAAGTGCTTCAAGGGATGATCCACATAATGTAAGAATTTTTACAATTTCTTACCATTTCGATCCATTGACATGAATTCTAAGATTCATCCCAACTCAAAAGATAAAATTTATATGCAGAGAAAATTGGTTGAAAACACTGAGTCTGATTTGTTGGTATCGTGCATCCGGAAGAATGCTACCTCCTCATCACAACGTAAAGGCAGAGCCTCTGACCATGGTCATAATGACGAGGCAAATGAAGTTGGAGAAGCCAGTGACCATGAAGTGAGCAATCCTACTATTCAACCTTTTTCTCTCTCTCAAAATTATGTACCCTCATGGTTCTGTTAGCTGTTCAACATTTTAGTGTACTTATGTTCTACCTCTATTGCAGGAGCCTAATGTGCTGGAGGCTGACAAGGATGACCCAAATAGTGACTTCAAGTTTCCTACAGGACCCATCAAGAAGAGGAAAAGAAAAAGTATTCCTGGTTTGGCAAAGGTAAGTTGATTGACACCTCAACCAACATTACATTGGGGATCTCGTTAAAACTGGCACATTTTCCTTTATGGTATAATTAGTATGTCATTCCTGAATGCATTTTTCCTTTTCTATCCCTAGTGCAAATTCAAGGAAGGTGGAAAAGATGTTGAAGACTTGATTGGTTGCAGAATAAAAGTTTGGTGGCCAATGGATAAGAAGTGAGTTCTCTAATAGAATAATTTGCAGATAAGAATTACAGAAGGAAGCTCTTCCTTTTGTTCCTTATTATATCCAAAAAGCTTTTCGGTTCATTTTTAAGTTTGGTATTATATTAGCAACTGCAACAATATGATTATTAGCTAGTACATAATGAAGCACTAGAATACTTCTTTGGCTTATTTTACTGTTAAAATCTGCAGATTTTATGAAGGAACAGTGAAGTCTTATGATACGTTAAAGAGGAAGCATGTGGTAAGCTGCACCTTCTTTCCCTTATCATCTCTTGGATATATAGATTACTTGTAAATGTGCATTACAAATAGTTTTCACTCTTGATGTCATATGGAAGATACTATATGAGGATGGAGATGTAGAAGTACTTCGCTTAGAAAAGGAACGGTGGGAGCTCATTGACAAAGGTCGCAAGCCCACAAAGGTGTGAAAAGTATATATATCAGAATTCTGTTCTCTAGCTCATCGTTCTACTTACATTTCCAGTAAAGCAATGAGTCATGACATAATCCTGACACATTACACATGTTCCCCATTTACAGAAATTTCATTCTTCAAAGAAATCCCCTTCAAAAGAATTGTAAGTATTTGTTCTTCAAAGTGATTGGCAAATGTTTCTCAAATGGGGAGTCTTTGTTGGGCTTTAATGGGATAGGGGCGTGTATGTGTATGGTATGCTATCTTAATTTTCTTCTGTCATTTGTTACAGGTCACCTGTTCAAAAAAGTAAAGGCATAGGTGGTTCACGTCAGAACAAGAAATCAATTAAAGCGTGAGTGAATTTTCCATCCCTGGCTCATTTATATGATACTTTCATTTTCACTTGTAATAAAAATTGTAAACATGATTGGTCTCTGATTTTATAGAGTTAAAGGGAGAAGAACGCCGAATAAGAACTTGGACAAGGGCATATCAAAGAGGAATCATTGGGGAAGTAGGGACAAAGAGGATTCTGAGGTGTCAAATGTTGAGCCCGCCCTTACATCTAAAGTCGATGAAATGAACTCGGGTAAGGTTTCTCTTAAGTTTGCAACTTGATATCCATATGTTATACCATTCTATAATGGGACAACATTCTCGCTTAAGGTTGAGATAAACCTGTAAGAATTCTTACTCTTACATGTTTTTTGAATGCATCGATTCAATGTTTTGTTTGCATATCTTTTACGCATGGCCAATGCGTGTAAGTTTCCCAGCTAGCATCAACTATGGAGATATTTTTTTTCTTGGCTTGTTGATAATCAATTTGTTCTTTTGCAGATACTTCAGAAGGAGAGGATGTTGAAAATGTGGATGAAAATGTGACAGATGAGGGGGAATCTGACAAGGAAGTGAAGTCAGCTTCCAAAAGAAAACGATTGGAAGATGCAGAAGAAAGTCCACATCACACTGAGGAATCCGATGAAGAGAATCCTGATTCTGAAGGGAAGCCTGCTGAAGATATACCACAAGATGCTCAAAATGGCAATGAGGAGGAACATCATTCAGAAGAGAAACAAGCAGATGAACTCAGCAGAGGCTCAAGAGAGGCTAATGAGGAAGATCCGTCAGATTCTGAAGGGAATCAAGAAAAAGATGACAGTGCTGGTAGTCCCATAAAACAGGAGAAACCCCATGTAGAGCCTTCGAGTCCTGATGATGCTGGGGATCCCGAAATTTCTGATGATGAGCCTCTTGTACTTGCCTCCAGCCTTGCTTTTACATACCCTAAACAAAAAAGAAGTGTTAGTGGTGTTTTGAGCTTAGTTGTTGGTTTTAATTGTCTTTTTTCTCCTCTGGATGCAGAGCAAGTGGACGGATCGAGTAGTGAAGAGGGGTTCAAGGGGAGCACGATAAGTGGTCTAATCCACTTTTACCATTTAGCTTTGTTTGGCTGTGGGCGGGGGCTGCAGATCCTAGTGCAATCTGGTGGCGTTTACAGTTTGGTGTGGAAAGCAGAGGAAAAAGAAGAATGGGAAAAGGCTAATAAATGTAATGAGCTGCAGTTGGGTTGGGCGTGAGGTTGGATTGTAGATTGTAAAAATAACAGTGTAGGCATATATAGCTTCCCACTCTAGCTCTAGGTAAAACAAGGTGTTAGTGCGTGTAACATTGTTGGGGCATATCATTCTACTCTATAGTGTACTCTACTATACTAGTGGTAGTGGTAGTGGTAGCTGAGCTGATGATAGATTTTGACATATGATTGCATCTTCTATTCTACTCTCCTCTCCTCCACCTCCACGATTTGTGCTTTAATGGGGTGCCCCCACATGTACAGTTATACGTGGGAGGGATGACGTGACACTGATAATCATATGTTATTTTTGTTTGAATCCTTCCTGACTTAAACCCTTCACTTAACTTTCTCCTTCTTCGGTTACATGTAATTTCCTCAATGTTAACCTATGCTGAATGCTGATCGGTTTGGTTTTTCTTTCTTGCCTTGGGGGACTCTGGATAATCTCGTGTTTGCCGTTCCAAAAAGTGTTCCAAGAATGAAAAATGGATTATAGGACTAGGGCTTTTTAGGGTGGGTAAAACAAGCTCGGATATTGGTCATGGTCGTCATACTTGGGCTGGGTCAGCCAGCCAGCCAGCCAGCCAGCCAGCCGAGGACAACCGCGTTGACTGAGTCCAAGCCAATGGATTTGCTTGAGAGCTTCTGAGACTAGTGAGATAAGATTACATCGAAATTTGAAAGTCCATGTCCAGCTTTTGGGTCAAAGTATTCTATTCTATTTTAGTAAGACTAGTAAGACCAATAACCTTCATAACTTAATCCCAGAAGTAATCATTTTACTTATTTGTTTTTTTCTTTGTTTGGTGCACGTGCAATTGTGGATCGTTCACATGGAAATCTCCGTTGATTGGGCAGGCACCCAAGAAAAAAAAAGGGACATTTTGAAAAAGGCCAGAGAAGAGAAATATTTTTAAAAAAAGTCAAAATGGATAAAAATACACTTATTTGTTTTTGGATTTTCTAAAGAATCCTTTACATATTTGTATGTTTATGATTTGAAAGTATAGGAGTTTTTCTGTCTTTTTTCAAAAGTGAAAGTTCTTTTTGAGACTAAAACCTAAATTTACTAAAAAAGTTACATTTACCCACTCACCGACCATGTGCAGCACCATTTGTTTTTTTTTTCGTAAAAAAAAAAGGCGAATGCAGCACACTTGCAATGATATAACAAAAAAGAAAAGAAAAGGAATTCATTTTCTTTCTTCTTTTTCTTCCTTTTGGCCTGAAAGAAAGAAGAAGGAAAAAGAATTATTAAAGATAAGGTAAGGCAAACATTCCACGATGTAGGCAGTCAGAGTCAGCTCAGACCCCACTACTCACTCAAGACCTGGTTTCCTTGCTTTGGTCAAAAATCGACAAGGCAAGGGAAAAAGTAAAAATAATTCGAGACTGACACGTGCCTTTTCCATCCATTGCTGAACAACGAACATACTACTCAGGCGACCTGTAGTGGCCGGTAACTAGGCGAGCCCGCTGGCCCTTGTGTCTAATTTTGGCGGTGAATAAGCCACAAAAGCCACAAGCCAGCCAATACCCATAAAGCTCTTGTTCATTATTCATTACATCCTTCGATATTCATAAGACAGGCCTAGCAGATCCTTAAGAATCTGGTAAGTTGTCTTCGCTCCTGTGTTTCTGTCTTTGGTTTTTGTTTTTCTTGCTTCCAAATTCCCGCATAAATTGAATTTTTGGGATTTGTTTAGTAAAAAAAAAGCAATGAGAAGAGGAAGTGAGTGTAGACTAGGGATTAACTCAATTGATTTGTAAGCTAGCTCTAGGCTCTAGCTGGTGGGTATTTGTTATGTTCTTGGGGTTTGCTTTCAGTTTATTCGTAATATCAGTATAGAATGTGAGATAATCGGGTTGCTAAAACTGCTGCTTCTTTTTTTGTTTCTTTTTCAACTTTTACGCAAAGCCTCTGCCTTTTCCTTTCACACAGATAGAATCATATGTTATATGTTCGTTGTTGATTTATAATATTTTACCTTTTAAGCTGAGTATGAAGTCTAATGTTTCGTATATTTGGCTGGGATCAATTTTTTTTTGCTTTTTTGCTCCTTTGCATATTCCGTTTTCCCAACTTTTGCACTGTCTTCAATTAAATGAACCGTCTTTTTTCAGGCCAATCAAAGAACCATGTTTAGTTTAGACCTTCTTTTTTTTTAGTTCTTAATGTTCTGTGGAATTGTTAGTGTGAACTATATTATATTACTGGGCTTTTCATTTATTGAGCTTTTGATCTTCTTCTTTCACAAGAGACCTCTATTCTGTTAAACGCCATGGAATATTTTCCGCCTTTTTGTTAATGTATGGTTCAACGTCCTCTGGGTGAATGCTGGATCTGTTTTAAGGTTGAGTAGTAGTACAAAAGTGCATAATATTATAGTATTTTGGTGGTATTTTCGCTCTTTGGCCATCAATTTGATTGAAAAGTTGAGAATACACCCTCATGCATTTTCCCTTTTTAAACTTCTCTTGGTTATATATGTCGAGTTATGCGCAGTGGTTGGCCTGGTTTATAAGTTGGCACATCTCTGGAAAGGAACTATGGGAGATTCATTGGGTTTGCTAAAAGTTACAGTCGTGCAAGGGAAAAGACTGGTAATCCGGGATTTTAAGAGCAGCGATCCTTATGTTGTTATCAAATTGGGAAATCAGGTGAACTTGGTGTCCTTTGTTTTTTTTCTTTTTTTATAACTGTTTTTATAAAAATTTCATGGATATGCTTTTGATACCACACGCATGTGTGCACAGACACATATCTTGTTCTGCACACGCACACAGAGCAATCTGGCACTTCACTCTTAGCGGAAGTGGATTGCTTTTTCAGGGGATTTTGTGTAGCTGTCCTCATAAGCTTCCTTTCTAAGTCCATGTGTTATGTTCTAGGACGGATGAGTGATAATTCCCTCTTATCCCACATTGAATCGGATTTCGTACAAAAGATGTTAAATGAAAGGAAAGTTGTGCAATCTCTCTTCAACGCTTATTGAAGCTAAATCAAAAGATTCTATTGGGACGATAACGAAACGGGCACCCCAGCTTTTTTAGTGTTTATTCCTTTTAACTGGAAAGGAGTTATTCTTTGCTAGAGAACCCTCCCAATACACCTTATGTACAGCTGTATTCAGCTATGACCGCATTGGAAAGTTAGAAAATCTTCACATTCTCACATTCTTAATGAGAACCTTTCATATCTAACTCACTCTTTACTTTGCCAGAATAATCTATGACTTGATGTGTGATTCCTTCAGCTAGTTTATCAAGAGACCAAATTACTCAATTGATGGTACTAAGGAGTTTATACTTCAGAGATAAGCACATTAAGCACATTTTTTACATACATACTTGCAGGTTGGATGTCTATATATCTGCTAAGAATGTAGTTGTTCTCAATTGCACACACTTCAGGGTATGCACAATTGGAATATCCTTTGTCTGTACTTCAAATTTCATGTATCAGGCATAGGTATATATTAATATCATTAAGCGTTTCTTTTAGGCATCTCTAAAACTGTTTGGAGTATCACACATTGTATGTGAATGAAATTGTTTTTACTACAATGGTAGTTTGAAGTGACTCATTAGTATAATCTGTAACAGGTGGCGAAAACCAAGGTTATCAACAGTTGCCTTAATCCCGTTTGGAATGAAGAGCTAAGCTTCTTCCTTAACGAACCTATTGGAGTTCTAAATTTGGTAAGTTTGGCATTTGAAATTCGAAGGTAGCCAATTCTTCTGATGAGGTTAATACATTATGTTGTGTTGTTTGGTAGATAAGTAACTTTGTAAGTTTGATTTGTTTGTAATTTTTTTTCTTGGGGTTAGATTTTACAACGTTCTCTATTGTTCTGAAATGCACATTTCTGAGTAATTTGCTATAGATTGATTATATAGTTGGTAAAGTTAACTTTGCAAAGGCTATTGAAATTACTACAATTAGGCTCGTATGACATGTGACGGAAGTTCTTTTTTCTGTAGGAAGTGTTTGATAAAGATTTTCTGAAGACAGATGATAAGATGGGACATGCTCACGTCAGCCTGCAGCCAATAGTCTCTGCTGCTAGATTGAGACAGATTTTACAAGTTTCTTCTGGCGAGACAACATTAAGGAAGGTTGTCCCAGATAGTGACAACTGCCTAGTTAGGGAAAGCTGTATTACTTGTGTAGATGGTGAGGTGGTGCAGTGTGTTTGGTTGAGGCTTTGCGACGTCGAGTCAGGGGAAATAGAATTGAAAATCAAGTTAACTGATGCAGCAGATCCGGATGCAACCTCAGGGTAGTGCGGAATTGACTATTGGCTTTTAGTTGTAGACCTCTAACAATGAGGAGAGAAGAGTTGAATCTCTATAGTTTGGTCATGCATTAGCAAGAAGATTGGCAATGTAGTTTACGATAGATCTAGTATGACGTTGTAATGGCCTAAGTAGGAAGTAGGAGGTTTGAATGTTTGGAAGTATGTTGAAATTGAAATCCTGTGCATGTATAAGTACAAATGTAAAATTGAACTTATGGATGATGGTGTGGTAAGCTTAAATTATGTTGTGTTCAGTGGCAGCCAAAAACTGCCTTGCTGCCTGCAATCCAATTCTTCTTTAATTTTGCAGAAACTCAAGGTTTTGCTTACCACCACACACACACACACACACGCACAAAATTGCGACTGGATATTTTCTTACGTCAACTGAAACGAAAGAGCTAAGAGAAAGCATGTTGTAAAATCAGCAATAGAGCCAATGGCTAATGTATGCTTCATGTTGTTTTATGACTATGAATCAATTGCTGGTTCACAGTCCTCTCCTCAAATGAGAATCAAATGTAATGGGGCGGACATCCTATCTTACCCAACTGGTCTAAGCAAAGGTATAATTACATCCTGTGAGATCCAACCCAATATTTTTGAAGACCCATCCTGGTCTAAGAATAGGTTGAATAAACACAAAGACATGGCTGGCTGATGGCCCCTTTTGTAACTTTTATCGACGCCCATCGGGCTTTTGAAGACCCAACTCAACTCAAGTAAGTAGCGAATATATGAAGTAAAGGGATGTCGTATTATTAATCCTACCGACAAAAAACAAAGGCAAAGGGATGTCGTATTATGATTGGATTGGCGCCTAAATCGTAGTCGACGATGAGTTTGAGGAAGTTGAAGGTGGCGGTGACGGTGGGTGGTGAAGCGACGAACCCAAGCCCTAATAATGAGAGTGAGAATAAGGCGAAAAGACAGACGGTAGTTCTGGGTAATGGAAGCGAAGTTGTGTTCATCCCAAGGTTCGTTAGCTTCGATCAGGCTTGGACATGGTTCGATTACCTCCACACCCATATCCCCTGGACCAGACCCACCATTCGCGTCTTCGGCCGTTCCTGCCTCCAGGTCTCTCTCTCTCCCCCTTTCTGATGTAATTTCTGTACAAATCTGCCATTTTTTCTATCAATTATTACTATTTGGGTTTTCTGAATGTTTCACTTCCTGTTGCAAAATATTGGTAATTCTGTAAGAAATGAGTAATATTCTTTGGAGCTTGGTGTTAACTACTGTTTATGATTCTACATGCCTTAAATTGAGGATTGATTGGAACCCAACCCAACTAAACTAGTATTATTTGTGGGGTGGGTATTTTGCAGCCTAGAGATACGTGTTATGTAGCAAGCCCAGGACTTCCTCAATTGGTTTACAGCGGCTACCAGCCTCGTGCCTATTCATGGGATGATCATCCACCACTTAAGCAAATCTTGGAAGCGGTAATAAGACTATTCTGCTTTGGTATTCATTTTCCATCATCCTTGCTCTAAACTCGTACTATGGTGCCGTGGCTCATTATGTCTTCCTTGTTAGGTCCATAAAGCTCTTCCTGGCAGCAGTTTTAATAGCTTGATCATAAATAGGTATAAAGGTGGTAATGACTATGTTGGTTGGCATTCTGATGATGAGAAGCTTTATGGATCAACTCCTGAAATCGCGTCCTTATCCCTTGGATGCGAACGTGAGTTCTTCTTGAAGAAGAAACCCAGTAAAACATGCCAAGGTATGATTCAATCAACCGTTTCCTCCATTTATTATGGTTTATCCTTTGTTGTGCATGTATAGTGGACAGTTAACCGGATGGACACATGGTTACGATATTATAATTTGCAGCAGGTTTCCATCTGCACGACTAGAAGCCCAGCACCCATTTAGAACATCTCTCACTACAAAAAAATAAAAATTTATGTCAAAACATAAAACAACAATTGAACCTGCGTTGGTATAATTGTCTTTTGGTGTGAATGCCAGAAAGCAGAGATGATCAAGAACCTAAAAGTAAGCGATTAAAGAGGAACCATGCTGATCAGCACTCTTTCACACTTAAGCATGGATCGCTATTGGTGATGAGAGGTTACACTCAAAGGGATTGGATGCATTCGGTGCCTAAGCGGACAAAGGTAGAGGCAACTCGTATCAACCTCACATTCAGGTATGTGTCTGATGGGTTCTAGGATTAGAAATTGAGAAGAGAATGATTGCTCATCGTGTTCTTTTGTGTATTGTCTGCAGATGGGTTCTTGAAGGCCCTGGTGCGATGAGTTAACTTGACACTGGTACTTTGTCCTAGAGGAGTAACGTATAGCTTTGTCGATTAGTTAAGAAGATTTTGGATGTCTGTATCCGTCTGCTATGTCACTTACTTAATTTGGGTAACATGTTATACAATTTAGTGTTTTTTTGTGTTTGTTTTGTTGCTTGGCTAGTATAGTAGGCTTTTTGTCCCTCCGTCTTTAAGTAAAATGAGTGCCATAAACCTTGTTTCCTGATGTTAGCAAGCATAGCCTCGTCCATAATCCGTACTGAGCAGCCAGTGCCAGATTAATACGGAAGAGCCCGAACTTTTGAGTTTCAGCAATCTTGTAATGTCACCACAGGCTCTTCTTAAGCAAGTAGCATCGACTTCCCGAAGCCTTGGACTTGGACTCCCATTGTGCAGTTGGTGTGTAACTCTTGCCATGAACATATATGGCAACGGCAGCACCCAACCATTTTGTTGAGCCTTGTTAACTGATTGGTGAGGTGACTTTGGACTTGAAATGTTAATTTTAAAATTAATGTTCGCAAATTGAACTCTGAGGAGCGAACGAACAGTAAGTAATTGAGGACCAAACTAGTTTAGTTTATGATAAACAAGTCATAAGAGGCCAAGAGCAGAGCAGAGCAGCCGCGTTGTTGCGGTTCCGGCGTAAAATGATAAAGTTGGATGCTGATATCATTCAGATGCATCAAAGCAGGCAGGCAGGCGATAAATGATGATGCCATGATGGCGCCAAAATTGCCAACGTAAACCAGAAAAAAGAAAATAAATAAATAAATAAATCCTCAGCGCTGTCGATCCATGATAAGGATAACAATAACATGTCTTTGCTCATTCATCAATTAAAATAGAATAAACGCTCTCAAAAACTTCATCCGAATTTCATTCCTTCTTTCTTCTTCCTTTGAGCCTTCCTTTCCTTGCCCGACGACGTTAAGACGTGCAGCAAGCAGCTCTGTTTGTTTGCTATCAAAATCCACACACAAAGAACCGAGATCCATCCCTATCTCTCTCTCTCTCTCTCTCTCTCTCTCTCTCTCTCTCTCTCTCTCATGATGTCTCCATCTTCTTCTGATTCTATTAAACCTCGAGGTAAACAAACACACTCCTTCAATTAAGTGCTTCATTTCTTGTTTAATTTCTGCTTCAATATTTTTGTTTCGATTTTTGGCGTCTTGTCTTTTTCAGATGTTTGCATAGTGGGAGTCGCACGTACGCCCATGGGAGGATTCCTTGGTTCCCTCTCATCTGTCTCAGCAACCCAACTTGGCTCTCTTGCTATTCGATGTATGAAACAACTTCTCTCTATCTATTCTTCATAATTAATTACCCTCTGCAGCTCTGCTTTCTCTTCTCTGATGGATGGCTGTGAATATAATAATGTGATTGATTCGAATGAAATGGTTATCTTGTCTATAATAATTACAAAAAATGTATAAAATGTTAGGCGCTCTTAAGAGAGCAAATTTGGATCCATCCCTTGTACAAGAGGTCTTCTTTGGGAATGTTCTAAGCGCCAATTTAGGCCAAGCTCCTGCAAGACAGGCTGCTTTGGGTGCAGGCATACCCAACTCTGTCATTTGTACTACTATCAACAAAGTCTGTTCTTCTGGCATGAAAGGTCGCTCCCCTCCTCTCTCTCTCTCTCTCTCTCCTCTCTCTCTCCTCTCTCTCTCTCTCTCTCTCTCTCTCTACCTCTTCTATTCAACTTCTCTGATCTTCATTACTGTCACACTGATATTCACTGATCAGTGCTGGAAATATTCTCTCTATTCTTTAATCAGCCACAATGCTAGCTGCACAAACCATCCAGCTGGGTCTCAACCATATCGTTGTGGCTGGTGGCATGGAAAGCATGTCCAATGCACCTAAGTATCTACCTGCTGCCAGGTTAAGCCCTTTTCCCCTTTCTTTTTATGCTTCTTTCTTTGTAATCCCATACTTTGAACAGCGATTCTTCTAGTGACAAATGACAGGTCTGTTTGTATAAATCGTAATCAGGGGATTTTCCCACTGACTCAACTCAAGTATGTAACAGTTCATCAAAATTGCAGGCTTTCTTGCTAAAATAGCTGCCACTTGAAGAATCTAACTTGCGCTTATGTTGGCCATTCAATGTGCTTTCTAAGCTTCATTTATACACACATGAGTTCTCTTTTGGCTTGTTCGGAAAAATGTCTAATTTGTAAACAGACAGGGATCTCGATTAGGACATGATACTATTGTCGACGGCATGCTTAAAGATGGTCTTTGGGATGTCTATAATGACTTTGGAATGGGAGTTTGTGCTGAAATGTGTGCTGATCAACATTCCATTTCAAGGGAAGAGCAGGTAATATTTCTCTAGAGATTGCTCTGCTCTAAAATATACACCCCCTTTGCATATTATGTTTAACTGTTGTTTCTAGTGACCTCTAACATTGGGCTATATCAATGTTTACTTGCAGGATTCTTATGCTATTCGAAGTTTTGAGCGTGGAACTTCTGCGCAAGATGCTCGTCTCTTTGCATGGGAAATTGTTCCGGTATGATTTAGTTCTGTGCTGAACAGCAGAAAAGTTTCAGCATGTTATAAAATGTCTATGTTCATTATCAATCTCCTGCTGTAGGTTGAACTTCCTGGGGGACGAGGAAAGCCTTCTTCAACTGTTGACAAGGATGACGGTTTAAAAACAGTAAGTACAATAGAGAAGACATGGGATGAACTTATATAGAATATATTTCTTTCAAATCAGTAATAGGAAGTTTTAGTTTTCAGATCAGAATTCCAAAACTGTCGAGCTTTAAGTGATCAAAAAATATTACCTATATGGATTTGAACGATTTTGACCAGTATCATAAATTTATAGACAAGAAAAGTGAGGGTTTTGGATTGGTTGCACTTCCAATCTCAAGTTGGAAGAAGTCACAGCTCTACCTCTTGTAACCACTATGTTTCTCCTCCTCCTTTACCCTAACTTTTGAACTTCAATGTCATGATTTTGGAGGTTTAGGAAAAAAAAATTCTTTGTAAGTTCTGCTTACAACTGTCCTTGCTAGTTTGATGCGGCAAAATTAAGGAAGCTTCAACCAAGTTTTAAGAAGAATGGGGGTACTGTTACTGCTGGGAATGCTTCTCTCATAAGGTGCTCTCTCTCTCTCCCTCTCTCTGTAATTTCTTTTAATATTGGTGCAAATTTCATATCTTTAATGCATTATGGGCTGTGCTTTTCTATTGGGCAGTGATGGTGCAGCTGCATTAGTGCTAGTGAGTGGGGAGAAGGCACTTCAACTTGGGTTACAAGTAATTGCTAAGATTAAGGGATTTTCTGATGCAGCTCAGGTAGTGAAATGACATTCTCGTTTATCTTGGTTTGCTGGACTTCAGATTGTGTTAATACTAAACCAATATTTTCTGGACAGGCACCTGAGTTATTTACAACTGCTCCAGCCCTTGCAATACCAAAGGCTGTTTCAAATGCTGGTTTGGAAGCTTCTCAAATTGATTACTATGAAATAAATGAAGCATTTTCTGTAAGAATTCATGCTTTTTATATGATATAACTTGGCTCTGATTCATTAAGCATTAACTGCATAAACGTGTTTTAATCTCGGCAGGTGGTCGCTCTTGCCAACCAAAAGCTGCTTGGCCTTAATCCTGTGAGTCTTCATGGAAAATTATTTAAATCGAAATTGATGTAAAGCAGATCAATTTAGTTTTTCTTTCACTTTACATTTTTGCTGTGCGTCCTTTTGCCCTAGTATCTGCCGCAGCTTCACTTTCTTTTCCAATTTGCCTTTCTTATGAATTCAGGAGAAAGTTAATGTCCATGGTGGAGCTGTATCTTTGGGACACCCGTTAGGATGCAGTGGAGCTCGTATCTTGGTCACTTTATTAGGGGTAATTCATTGCTTTTTTCTGTCTATAATTTTTGTGCTTGATGATTTGAAAATTGCTGCTAGCTGTACATCTCTCTTCTGTGGTAAAACTATTGGGGAGATGGGGCCTTTTTTTGTAAGAAATGGAAGCTGCATCTAGATTATTTGCTTCTTCCATACATATATATATATATATTTTTTTTTTTCGGTCAAATAGATTTGTTAATTTCTGGTGTGCCTCAATTGAAAGTAATGTTCTTGCAGGTATTGAGACATAAAAAGGGGAGATATGGGGTTGGTGCCATATGTAATGGAGGAGGGGGAGCATCTGCCCTTGTTCTCGAGCTTATGTAAGTTTGTTCAGGCATACGCATGATTTTGATCTTTACCTCTGAGTTCTTAACTTCAACAAGTCACTAAAGAAGTTTGCATCTTGCAGGCCATTACAAGGGTGGCGCGTTCTTCGTTGTGATAATATATTGTGTCACATCATCATAATGTTGTAGAATTTGGCCTCTATTGTTTGAACTTTCTTCCTCAATAAGGAGGTCTATCAGATGTTATTTAGAAAATATATGCTGTGTTTTGTTTTTTTTTTCGGTTCAGTTTGTCACGCTTTTGGTGTTATTTGATGTCCACTGACCACCCCCCACCACCCAATGTTGCTGTAATACGGACTCATCTAGTATGGAGTGTGCCAAATGGACAATTATTTTGGGGTGCGGAGAACAATTCATATGCACTACTGTACTCTCCATTTGTACAAGAAAGTTGAGTTGTTGACTTGCTGGAAATCAGATGACAATGCCTGGGATGGGAAGTAAATGTGGTTTCCTATTCTATTCCTTTCTGAATCAATGAACATCCATCTGAATTGTAGAGTGCACGCCAACCCAAACATTAATATTATTACTTACTGGCTAATAATAAGATGAAGCAGATTCCCTTCCCACCAAAATTGAAATTTGAAACTGCATTTAAACAATCTGAATGGGATAAAACGCAAGCCCCCCCTTGAATTGAAGGACTTCGTTTTAGAAATATAAAGGACAAAATGAGAGAGAGAGAGAGAGAGAGAGAGAGAGAGAGAGAGAGAGAGAGAGAGAGAAATTGTAAATTATTACTAGCACAACCAAGTGATGTTGAGGAGAGAAACTCAAAGATAACTTTTTTTGGAGTGTCAACAAATGTTGTGTGTTCTTTATTGAAGGATGGATTGTTGATATGTTAAATGTTGTCAATATTTAATAATATAAGGTATCATCCTATTATAGGGGCGATTCTGTGCACAGGGTAGGTTGGGTGTCCGCCTAGCCCAAATTTAAGAAAGAAAAAAAAACCTACATATGTTATAAGCTCAGTCCAAATTTTTTAAATAAAAAAAATAAAAGCAAACCCTACATCATATCTTCTTTGCCCACCCAGGTGGTCTTATATCTTCTCTCTCCTCTTTGGGCTATGCGACATCAGCTTGTTTCTCTATCTTTTAGCTACTCGACATTAGCATCTTCTTTCTCCTTCCAGTTTCTATATATCTTTAATTATAGTTTTAATTTAAAATTGAGTATTCTAAGGTGTAATTAGGGATGAAAGAGAGTTTTCTAATAATATCAGTAATACATTGATAATTTAAGAATTTAAGAGTTCTAAGCATTGATTGCTTTGCATTTACTTTTGGTTTTAGTTTTAATTTTTGCATTTGTAGAACTTTTATTTATGGATAAAGATGCATTTGAGGGTAAGGCTCATTACATCCTCCTTAAGTAGGTGCATCTTTTTATGTTTATTAATAAAATTCATTCATATCGTTGAGTTTAGTATGTAAGTTTTGCCAACTGACTTTCAAATTTTAAAACCGTCATTGACCTATTATTGATAATATTGATACAAAATTCACATTGTGCACAGAGAATTTCTAATATGTTATATAAAAAATCAATCGCATGAAATTTCCATAACATTCTTAATTTTATCAAACTCTCGTCTAAGAGGGGAGAGAAACCACAATTGGTCTGCTTCTTATAGAGGTGGGAATAGGAGGAACTGAAGGCAGGCAGGCAGGCAGGCACCGTGATGGCTGGTCAACGGTCTAAATATCTCCTGAGTTTTTGGATTTTTTGTGATACTCATGCCACAAATTATCTCTCTTCCTTTTTCCACGTGTGAGAGGAAAAAATAAAAAATAAATAAAATCTCCATTCGATTTTTGGGATAGAGATGGCGAGAAATGCAATAGTCAAGGCCAATTCTGTCTATTCCGCATTCTACGCGGTTGGCATTTACCGTTAACTAGCGCATACTTCTCTCTGCTTCCCGCTAAAATAGGACAAGTAAAATCATGTACAAGGCAAAAACTTGAATGAACCTCATCTTTTGGGCCTGTTCTTCGTTTGCAACGGACCCGGAGCTTCAATCATAGAAATTCAGAATTCAGAATTTTGAGACCCAGACCACCATCACATTCTAACTTTGTTTCTTCAGAAAGTTCCTTTTAATTTCTTAATTCGTGAATTGGCTGCCTGGTTTTCTCAGAGTCTTTTTCTGATGATCCTTCACCTCTGACTCGACAATAACTTCATCTTTTATTCTTTGCGGTGGTACATACGTACGTGCTTTCACGTTTTCAATATTTCGTTAATTTGCTTCTCTCTCTCTCTCTCTCTCCTCCTCTCTCTCTCTCTCTCTCTCTCTCATCTGTTTGTAGCTTTCTCATAAATTAAAAACATCCGTTTAATTCTCTACATGCTATTCTGTATATTGCAATGCATAGATAGCTGGTACATAAAAAAGATGCACATAATATATAATATAAATATACACACCTTGTTTGTTGGCATCCACTCCCACCTTTGGTTGGTTGAATTTGGTTCTATTATTTTGATATATTAGATTGAATTGGTGATGCTAATTGATGTTGTGACACTGTCACGCATGCATGTTTGCAGAAGAGAAATCAAAATGGCGAATATCCGTGTAAAGGATCAGCAAAAGGGTTCGGGTTCGGGTTCTCCGAGGGCAGAGGTGGGAGAGGTTGACACCAGGGCTCCATTCCAATCTGTCAAAGCTGCTGTTAGTTTGTTTGGTGAGGTCGTTTCTAGAGGGGGAAAAACCGCCAGTTCCCCTGCCAATGCCAATTCCCCTGCCAATGCCACTCCCGTCAAGAAAAAACTTTCTTCAGAGGTAACTCGGTACATTCAAACTCAATTAATCCCTTCAATTTATATATTTATTTTCCTCCTTTCATCCCATAGGCCATGTTAACTTATTTCCATATCTAGCTACCCTTCAGACTTGAGGGAGGCTAGCTAGCTGTTTGGTAATGTGATGATGGTCATAATTTAAACAAACTCACAGTTAATTAAGAATGAATCTGCTCATTAATTCCTTGTTTGTCAGAATAATGCACTGGACAAGGAGACACAGCTTCTGTTGGCCCAGAAAGAACTAAACAAGATCAAGCAACAACTAGAGAGTGCGCAAACTACAAAAGCTCGAGCACTCAATGAGCTTGAAAAGGCTAAGAGAACTCTGCAGGATCTCAACACCAAGCTCAAAACTGTAAGCGACTCCAAGCAATTAGCCATCAAAGATGCAGAACAAGTCAAGATTCAGGCTAAGAAACTGGAAGAGGTCAAATCCAGAGAACCCATTGAAGGTGGAGCTTGGAAACGCGAATTGGACCACGCTAGAAAGGAGTACACAGCCACTGTGACCGAACTCGATGCTACAAAGCAAGAGCTCACCAAAATCCGACAGGACTTTGATGCCGCCTTGGAAGCAAAACTGGCTGCATTCCAACAGGCAGCAGAAGCACAACGTTCTGCAAACGTTAACTCAGACAGGGTTAATGAGCTCTCAAAGGAAGTTGCAGCCATGCAGGGATCAATCGAACAGCTAAAACTTGCCTCCCAACAGGCCCAACAAGAGCAGGCAAACGCCGTGGCTGAAAAACAGGCCCACCTCCGATCTTACAATACTGCTAAGCAACAAATAGAAGAGAAATTACTATCTTTGAAGCTAGAAGTTGATCCTGAACTGACCGAAAGTCTAGAGGCTAAGCTTGAGGAAACAACTTTAGAGATTGAAGTTTTACAAGAAGAAATGAAAAAAGCCCACGCTTGTGAAATGGACTCCATGAGAGTGATAACTGTGGAGCTGAATGAAGCCACAAAGACGCTGCAGGAAGTTGCTGACGAAGAAAGTTCTCTTCGAAGCTTAGTGAACTCCCTCAGGCTGGATTTGGAGGATGTGAAGAGGGAGCAAACTGAACTGAAGGATAAAGAAATGGAAATGGAATCTCTTGCTGCTAAACTAACTGCTCAAATACAGAAAACCAAGGAAGAGGCAGAGGCACAGCTTAAGTCACCTCCTAGTCATCATGAGTATGATCACAGTTCAACTGCCCAGAAGCTTTCATCTGAAACTGAAAACGCGAGGCTGGAAGCAGAAGAGATGAAGAAAAATGCTCATCAACAGAAGCGAGAAGCTGAAGATACCCGGGTTGTAGCAGAGGAAGCAGAGAAGAAACTGAAAATCGCCCTGGAAGAAGCTAAAGATGCCAAAGAAGCAGAAAAGAGAGCCCTTGATGAGCTCAAGCTCTTATCCGGGGGGACACAGGAAGCAGGTACTTGTTCAAATTCAGAGACCAGTGGCGGCAAGATCAAACTATCATCGGAGGGGTATGAATCTTTGACAACGAAAGTCGAGGAATGTAGAAAATTGGCTGAGCAGAAAGAGGCAGAGAGCATGAACCAAGTAGAAGCAATCAATGTGAGAAAAAGGGAAGTAGATAAAAAGTTGGAGGCCAATTTAAAAGCGATAGAGGAAATCAAGACTGCGACAGACATGGCATTGAGCAAAGCGGATATGGCAGAGTCAGCAAAATCAGCGGTGGAGGGTGAACTTCGCAAGCGGCGTCAAGAAGAACAAACGGTGGCAGGTGAGTCATCAGGGTCAGTCTCCATTCAGTTCTAACTTGTAGGAGGATGCAAGAGCAGATCATTGAGAGAGAAACACCAAGTTCTCTTTCTGTTTCTGTTTCACAAGTGCCTAAGCTCGGAGAATTGATCTTGCAATGAAAAGATGATAAGGTATCTCCTCTCCCCATCTGCCTACCGTAGTATCCCATTTTTGGTGTATTCAGGAAAACTTATTTATTAAGAGTCTCAGTGGTTCAGAAACAGGGAAACATGTAAATCGCTTGTTATCTCATCTCAATACTCAAAAGAATACTTTCTTCTTTTATTGGCTCTGCAGAAACTGACATGTTTTACCTCCATGATTTATAATTGTCAGTCAAAAAAACATATTTAGAAATCGCTGAAGGTGAAAATAGGTTAATCTGTGCAACTAGTATATGATTTCGAACTGTGCAACTAAAGATGACATGACAATTTTCTGCTGCACTACAACGCACATCAGGCTACGCACGGCACAGGTCTGAACTGAGTATCCAGCAGCCATATGTCATATTACATACACTGTATTAGCTATATCCCTTGTGAAGTTCACGTAGATAATGTGAGCAACTACCATTACAACCAATCATATCGTATGATTGCAATGGTAGGACCAGTAACGCAAAGATTCCTTGTCCCGCAGCTTTAGACTGAGCACAAAGGCTTAAGATTCATCACTGCAAGTCTGCAAGGCACCAAGCTCTGTGGTTTCAGTCACCATTGATTTTGAGGTCATCTAGAGAGTCAGAGAGCCCATTCCCATTACCAAACTTGTTAAACTCAGATTCTATCGTTTTAGCAATCTGTGTTCCTTCTGCAGCTGGCTCAGGTACATCCACATGAAAAGAACCCTGCTTCATTGGGTGAACAGGTTCCTTGATCAAAGATTGCTGCTTGATGTAGTTGTAGAGCTGTTGATGAAAGTGGTGGTCCAAGGAGAAGCAATTTTCAGCTCCATTCTGTGAATGCCGAGATGATCCCGAACCTTCTCTTTTACAAAAATGTGGAAGAGATCCATAATCCATTATCTACACAAACAACAAATCCAACTACAAGATTAGTCCATTTGAATTTTGACGCTGCCAAATGAAATTACTAAAGATATCAAAATCAACTTATTCAAAGATGATTTTGAGAAATATGACAAGAACTCATGAACATTCAAGTTCTCAAGACTTCAAGCATTATAGGGAAAACATCTTACCTTCAACAGTTCATCCCTACCACAACCAGACAACACCTGCACTTTTTTCCTTGTCCTCTCCTGCAAAAGGGGCTTGACAACCTGCTAACAGTCCAAGAATTATACAACTGCCATTCCAAAAGGGCATCTAAAATATATAAAGTTTTAGAAGAACATGAGCACCATACTCCCTATGGCTTAAAGATCAATAATGATCATGCAATAAACAAAGTGGGGACGAACCCAGTTATACAAGACACAACAGATTACATGATATCACAAAGAACACAATGTGAAGACTAACCTTCCAACAAGCTGAGAATATATATGGGGCATTTACAATGTAGTATGTATTTGTCTTCTCCGGGTAGTTCAAATCATCAATTGTTGATATAATTGTCAATAACTGCACGGGCATAAAACATACAAGGTAGTGAATGCTACACGGTTTACATTGTAGAACTCATTTAGATACATACAAAGTAGAATCTTCGCGCTTATAATCAACCTAATTTAAGTTGGTTATAAAATTTAATTAAGGAACATTGGACAAACCTAAATAGATTTGTCAGCTGTACTTATGATAGGAAAGAACAAGATAGTCTAAACTGTAATGAAAACAAATAAACAAATAAACTTCTGGTTATATTGTACCTTAATTTGGCTTAGTGCTGAGAGCTTCAAACCAGTCATATCTAAAACCTTCACGCAGGTGATAATAGGCTTACCATACTTCCTCGATGCAGAGGGCTACAACCGAACACACAGGTCAGAAAAATGACTTGTGAAAGCTTAGAGATTCAAGATCCCATACTCACCAAAATTATACGATCTCGATATTCATTAATTTGAATGTGTGACTGCACATAGTAGTGAACCTGCAATGGAAAATAAAAAAAAATTACTCAAAGATTGTAAGGACTCAAGGACCTTGAGCATCAAGATAAAGAGGCAGAAGTAGATGATTCAAATTCAATCATTGTTGTCAATTATAAGACAAGATGGTCTTTCATTTAAATCTAGAACTTACAGATGCTTTGTCAAATGTACTTAGCCCAACACCAATGGCAAAGACTGGCAAACCCTGAAGAGAAACGAAGAACGAGTTAAACATGTTACAGCACACAAATTTCAACCCAAAAAAAAAAATCACTGGTAGAAGAGACATTATTATCAAAGGTTCAATTCCCATGGAGCAAAAGATTGCAGGATTGAAATCGTCAACACTGTCATGGTCTTGAAAAGAAAATGTAAACACCAAAAACAGATAAAAGTTTTAAGTTAGGATGAGCACCTCTCTTGAGTAACCCGAAAGACCTATGAGCTGTGAATCTCGTACTGACCGGTATAATTCAGTTGGAACAATCGGTTTCTGCATGGAGGAATAAGACTCCAAAAATGTCAGCATCTGGAGACCAGCACATGTATAAATAAGATTGGTAATTTTTCAAACACTGAAAAACACCAAAATGTTAGGCAAGTACAGGAATAGGATAAACTTACGGCCAATATATTGTCAATCTCATTTTGTACCCTCCAATTTAAACAATCTACCAACTGGAACATCAAAAAGATATCATTTCACCAATTAAAAATATAAAAAAAGAAGTGAGCTGACAATGGATAGGATTTCATTAGATTAAATTGTGAAGCTAAAGAGCTGCATGTTACCATTTTATGGGCTTTGGCGACATTCCACTCTCTTGCTTTGAGAAAACGGCCGAAAGTCTCAAGAGGATATCCTTGATGAACATTCTATATAAACCAGGAAACAATTTTTATGATAAATCCAAAATTCTAAAAACATGGGGAAAATATATTATAGAAGGGAAAGCATGAGTATGATCCCGAAAGATCCAGTAGAGCTCAAAATTCAAATCAAGCATTTGATAGGCAGGCCAATTGCCATGAAATAGCAAGAGAAGAAATTATAAAGACAATGTCCATGATGTGGAACCAAATAGCAGCCGCCTAGTTGATGTTATTAATATCAATGAATTATATTTGTGAGTTTGGGGGAGTTGAATTGGAATCCTGAGTCCTAGTGTTGCTAAGGAAAAGAGGGGTCTACTTAAACTGGAAACTGCAGTAAACATGCTTTGAGCCTTGGCCCTTTGGGGATGGCAGCAAATGTCAATTTGGCAATCACCCAGAAAAGATTAAGCAAAACACAAGCCATTGGCAACCCACAAAAAAAGTTTAAGAGAAGTCAATTTTAAAAAAAAAAAAAAAAAAAAAAAAAAAAAAAAAATAATGAAAAAAAAGAAAGGAAGAAAGAACATAAGTAGAATTAGCAGAAGAATATTGTAAGTTTGATTTTGAGCTGAGAAGAGATCGGAGAGACGAAAGTAGGAAGGTAATAGAAAATGCGAACCTGAAATGTTCTCTTGAGTGGCTCATCAACTGCCATTACTCAAAAATCCAGCAAATAACAGAGCAACAAAATGAGAAACAGTAAAAATAAATAAATAAATAAAAAAGGAAGAAAGAGAAAGGGAAAGCTGAGAAAGCTGACCTTGATCCATCAAAGCTTGGAACTGCTTAATCGCTTCCTGAGAAACGATCCCCATTTCTCTTAAATTTCGCTCTGTGTCCGTCTCTGAATCTGTTTTTGGGTTGCTGAGCAAAAAAATTTAAATAAAAGCTAAAAATGAGAATGAGAGAAGGCAGAGGTCGTCCTGCTAATACTAATTTATATAATATTTATATTAATTAAAGAAAGCAATTCAAAAGAAAAGCGTATTAATTTACTAGGAAAGTAATAAAGAAGGAGGAGGAAGAGGAGGAGGAGGAGGAGGACCCTTTGTTCCAGTTTTATTTAGCTTCTCTTTTTTCACTCTTATTTTACTGCAACAGAAGACCAACCAACGATTTGTAATTTGTTATTGTTAAACTTTAATGAGATAGATTTATTAGGGAAAAGACAAACACTCGTGTCGGGCTCAGGACTCAGGAGGAGGAGGAGAAAGACTTTTTATTTTGGGTCAACAATGTCACGAGAGACAACAAGGAGAGAGAGAGAGAGGAGAGAGAGAGAGAGAGAGAGAGAGAGTCGAGATTCAACAAAGGCGGGCCTACGTGCCCAGCCATTTATTCCCCAACCCCTCAGAAATTCAACAGCATACCCCAAACCAAACCCAGTCTTCTCTCTTTTATTTACTCACTAATTAATCTGTAATGTTGGAACAAAAAAATGTAACTCACCATTTCGGATACTTTATAAAAATAAAATCTTTCATGAGTATTGCTAATTTCAATTTTATTTTTTTTCCTTCACTCCTTCCAGCCAGCCACCTACCCCAAATACAAAATATTGGGTCCCACATTGCTAGATCTATCTGTTGCCGTCGGATACGACTCGCTTGGTTTCTTCATTTCAGATGGAGGATGGGATCCCGAATCCCGAATCCCGAATCCCGATGGATATGCTTTCTTTGTTAACTTATTGTGAGAGATTGTGAGAGTGGAGGAATTGCACCGTCCAAAAATAGGAGGACGGCAAAGGCAAAGGCAAAGCTAAGCCAATGCAAAGGCGACGCGGCATTTAATTTGTGCCAAACAGCTGCTGAAACTGAAAGATTCCAATCTGATCTTGATCTGATGCGCCAATGCCAAATTGCCAATTGTGGTCTCCCTCCAAGGACCCTCCATACCTCACAATTCTGCCACGTTTAATGCCTTCCTTCTTCTTCTTTCTCTTTTTCTTTTTCTTTTTTCTCAATTGGGGAGTGATGAAAGAGGACTACTCTTGTCTTGGGTTAGTTTTTATTTTATAATTAAATTACTTTTTATTATTTATATTGGTCCTCTGTCTGAAGTTATACAGTCTTAATCTTGGGTTTATTTTTAACTTGTTAAATACACTCGTTTGGGAGTAATTTTGGATAGAGCAATTTTATGAAGAATCACTTCTTCAAATAATTACTTTTAAGTGATTTTATTGAGAAGCGCATGGAAGATGCTTTTGTCTAGAATCACTTAAAGTAATTATATAAAGAAACACATTAAAGGTGATTCTCCTAATAAACGATGGGCTGGGCTGCAAATTGCAATGTACCATTTTCTTCTTCTTGTTTGTTGTTGTTGAGGAAGGAAGCTTCCTAGAAGTTACACTCCAGATATTAGTAAGCATTACGTTCGTCTTGTGATGGAACAAGAAAATCAAAGTTTGTCATTCATGTCACTGTCGCCTAAAATTCAATGTAAATGTACAAACTGTAATTTGTAATGAGAGACTTGACTTGTCAATGCCAAGTTTGAATTGATTGTATTCATAACATCCTTTCAATATTAATAATAAGGTCCTGTTCCTGTATGTATGTATGCATGTATATATAGCGAGCCTTGTTAATATGTGTGATAAGCGGCCGCGATTCCTTCTGAATTATACGAATATACCCTATACATGCGCGTTTCGTATGCAAAGTGAAGCGGTCAAACTAAAGCATCTGTCAGTATATCAGAATTCAAACATACATATATATATATATATGTACGGTGGTTGTGCAGCAAGCACCACCACAAATCAATTAAGAGATAATGTAGAGCGCTGCGCAGGTAGCAAGAAAAAAAAAAAGAAAAGACAAGAGCAGCAGTTGGGTGAAAAGTGAAAATGTCGGAAGATGATGATCAAATTAAGAGGACTAGTAGTAATGATGATGGTGAGTATTACTACCGTAGCAGCAGCTGCAACATATCATCATGCGAGATCGAGGAGGATGATGAGGAGGAGGTTGGTTCAAGTTCAAGTTCAAGCAGCAGATCATCATCAAGAAGATCAACCCAGGCCGATGATATCCCAAGGGAGATCAAAGAGCTTTTTGGGAACAAACGATATCCGCCCATGCCATCCATCAAGGAAGATTATATAGATAATCATCATGATCATAGAAGCAGCAACAGCGTTTATGTGGCAGTCGGTAAAAGCGAGTCAAGCATGGAGGCGCTGACCTGGACATTAAAGCACGCTGCTGACCCCTCATCCACCACCGTCTATCTCATTCATGTTTTCCCGGAGACCCACTTCATTCCAAGTCCATGTAAGTACCAAGTACGTACGTATATGATATATCATATGCATTTGTGTCTGTGTCTGTATGTATAATGTATGTGTGATCTGTTGTGTTGGAATTGAATATATTTGTAGTGGGAAAGCTTCCAAAGAGTCAAGTGAGTTCACAACAGGTGGAAACTCACATAGCCCAAGAAACAGGCAAGAGGAGAGAGCTCCTTCACAAGTTCCTTGACAAATGCTCTGCTGCAAATGTTAAGGTTGACACTATGCTGATTGAAAGTGATATGATTGCACGGGCTATTCTAGACCTTATCCCTATTCTCAACATAACAACGCTAGTACTTGGAACTACCAAATCCAATCTAAGGTAATTAATAATATATGCATGCATGCAGGTGCAGCCAGCCATGCACCAAATTCATTACTTCATTTATATTTACTTGGTCTCTTGTGATTCGTGATTCGTCAATGAACTCCATCATCTTCTGGAATAGGAAATTGATGTCTGGGAAAGGAAGCGGGATAGCTGCTCAGATACTTCAAGCTGCACCGGATGGCTGTGAGATCAAGATCATCTGCCAAGGGAACCAAGTCATGATGGACCAGGCGATTCACTCCCTTTCCCCACGTCTCAACGATGATCCCACTACGACCAAGTCTATGCAACACCGACAACCGAGCAATAATAATGAAGCCTTTTCATGCATCTGCTTTAAACCCAAGTTCTCTTCCTCCTCCTAAGCAAGGAGCAAGGAGCATGAGTTATATGCTTCATTACTGCTACTATTAACAACAGCAGCGGGGATAGCTCAGTTGGGAGAGCGTCAGACTGAAGATCTGAAGGTCGCGTGTTCGATCCACGCTCACCGCATTTTTCAAGCATCCTTTTGTTTTCTTTCAAAAGAAAAAGAACTGTGGATGCATCGTATTCCAATCCAAGTTAACTCTCTTTCTAAATTTCAAACATGCGATGCCTGCATTGTATTAAAAGAATTTTGCCTTTCCATATTAGCGGCTGCAAATCCTCTTTCCAAGTTCATTTGCACATTCCATAGAAGAAAGAAAACAAGAAGAAATTAATCCCAATTTCTAAGCTATGCTGGTATTTTCTTTTTCACAACCGTATACTAATTCGGTGGCAGACCTAGAACAGTGTATAATATCTGTTGGGCAAGCATTTGCATTGCAAGAAGAAAGGGACTCTCCATTGACCACAACCCTCAAACATCCGATGCCGTGCACAAAGTCCTAAAAATGGGATCTAATTCATGCCTTGATTTGACAGAGAATTCATGCAATGATTATGCAATAAAAATTTTGAAACTGTCAACAGGTAAAAACAACAACAACAACAACAACAACAACAAACAAACATACCATTTCTCATCATCTATCAAGAAAACAACTTAACCTCACTACTAACGGTCCCTGAATTGTCCGAAAAAGTTCTTTCCATCCAATAGAAACCATTTACGATCAATAAACTAGGGCTAAAAGAAATCAAACTCCAAATAATTATCAGAACCCTTTTGATCAGGAGCTGCTGTGGGAGTAGGAGCCTTCTCCTTCTCACTTGATGATGCTGTTGGGGCAGGTATCCGCTCAATCTCAACAGGCTTTGGGATCTCGGGTGGGGTAGCACAACGTATCAATGCCCAATTTACACCTTCAAAGAACGGATGTTGCTTTATCTCAGTTGCCCCTCGTTTGTACGCCAATCTGTGCTGTGGTTCCTTTACAAGCAATCCCCTTATGAGATCTCTTGCTGCAAAACTGACGACTGGTGATTCTGGAAACCGGAGAGGCTGACCAACAACATTGAACAACGTTGCACGATTCCCAGAACCCTTAAAAGGAGTTTTACCAAACAACAGCTCATATAAAAAGATTCCAAAAGTCCACCAATCAACAGCACTTCCATGACCTTCACCCTTAATGATCTCAGGTGCCAAATACTCATGGGTCCCAACAAATGACATAGACCGGGCATCAGTTGGCTCTGCAATGAGCTCAGGTAATGGTCTGACTTGGTTTCCAATTTCATTTTTAGGTTTCCTGTCCTTCTTGGACTTGCTAGAAAACAAACGTGGTGAGAAGCATGTTGTAGGAGCTACACAGGATGGCTGGATACAAGAAGGCGGCTCAATGCAAGCTGGCTGGACACAATAAACAGGGTTCTTCCGCAAGGGTTCAAACTCCATGGATGATGTTTTGACAAGAGTTGGACTAACAGCACAACGGAGGGAAAGGTCAAAGTCGGAGAGCATTATATGACCATCTTCCCTCACCAGGACATTTTCCGGCTTAAGGTCACGGTAGACAATCCCAAGCATATGGAGGTATTCCAGAGCCAGCAGTACCTCAGCCACATAGAATCTGCAAGCTCAAACAAAAATTAACTTGTTACCATCAAGTGCTATGCACACCAGGACCATTGCTCATATTATTTGAAGAAATTTAAATCAACATAAATATCAACATTTTGAATGATTACGTCAAACATATTGTCATTGAAACCCAACATAATATCAATATTGAGAACGATTACATTCCTCCTGCAGGATCATATGATAGTTGCAGGCTGATGTTTAGAATTATACACCTACCATCTTACTTACTAGAACACTAACCATTGTCAAACTTTGAGGACTTAGACAATGTAGTAATATCCACATTGTTTTTTATAATATGCACCTATGGTTATGATTTCATCAGTTAATCATGGCTTCCAATATTTGGACTTTTCTGAATATGAACGTTGAGGAAAATTAATGCAAATTACAGTTCCACAAGAATGCATAAATAATAGATTTTTAAGAAGGAAAACATCAATAGCTCAATATCAATATAGTCTTGCTTCATTTAATGCTTTCGGATGATTACCAAGAGTATTTTCTAAGTGCTAAATAAATTATAGCAGTTTCAGAATACAATGTTTGGTTAACCACCTATGACAAAGGAAAAACCACTCCCTCACTTCAGATTGAATCGTTGCACAGACTATGTGATCTACATAAGCCTGCCGCAATCCTAATATCTAGGACATTATGTTCAATTGTCATTTTAAAAGACAAACCATACACATTCAAGCAAGAACTCTACAGCATGCCTGCTCAATCAGGCCATACAATTTTCATAACTTATGTACCAAGCTTATTGAACTGACAAAGTAGCCCATATGTTTCCCCAAGCACCATATGCTTGAGAGTCCACCTAGATAAATGGGTTTTAAAGGACGAATTATTTCAAGAAGATAAAAGGAAACCTTTCTTTCTAGTTGAACATAGGGAATTAAGGATAGAATTTAAGAACCTGTGACATATACAGAAAAGCTTCCCTTTTCACAGCTCTAGTTAAACAAATTCTTCTTTCTTTCTTTTGCCCTACGTTCTCAGTTAAATTCAGTTTTTATTTTTTATTTTTTATTTTTTTATAAATCAGAGACGATATGAAGATGAAACAGATCATTCAGATCAAGTAAAATGAAGACAGCCAGATAATATGTGCAACTTTACTGAACATACTTTACTGCCTGCTCAGAAAAATGCTTCCCCGGCTGCCTCTGCCTGAGAGTGTGCAAGTCTCCTCCAGGACAGAATTCCATCACCAAACATGAAAACTTATCTGTTTCAAAGTGGGTATATAATGTTGGAAGGAAGGGATGATCCAGAGATTGCAGTATCTCCCTTTCTGTCTGAGCACGAAGAAGCTTTTTACGACTTGCTAGAGACCCTTTGTCCATAACTTTCATTGCAAAATAACATTTAGTTCCACTTAGCTCTGATAGGTAGACACTCCCAATATCCCCGCAGCCTAACCTCTTTAGTAGTCTGAAATGACCCAGACCCAGAACCCCATCTCTTGTTCGGACAGCTTGGATAGCTTCCCATCTCAAGTCATTTGCTTTGTGAGGCTTGCTGATGCTGCTACTAAAGCTGCTACAAGTGCTCTCATCACTCACATCACTGCTTGTGCTTCCTCTGCACATACTGCTCTTGCCACTCTCTACAAAATCAACTCGATCACTAATCTTGGCACTTCCACTAGTCTTGGCAAGACTGCTGGCTCCATCGCTCACTTTGGCCGAAACTGAACTGTCCTTCACACTTCCATACTCTGATGTCTTCTTTTCTTGATCAACAGAACTTTCCAGTGAACCTCTGGTCTCATTTACAACAGAATCTACTTCCTTGGATGCTTTCTCAAGGTTGGGTGATAATGAAATCGAATTCAATTTATTAATCAAGGAATCAGCAGATCCTTTTTCATTGGAATTTGCCGACCATTTATCATCAGAAGCTTCTACTGCAACCTGCTTTGTTAAGTTTTGTATAGATTTTGGTAATTGCTCAGGAGTAGCGAGCTCAGGTCTGGTTGGCTTCACTCCCTGTGGGGGAAATTGCCTGAGATCATTAGTTTCTACCGTCTGAACACCAGCTGTTTTCTGTTGCAGTCTTGAGGAAGCTCTAGCACCAGATTTTGAGGCCATCAGATTTCAGAGGAAGAATGGGTTATCAAGCAGATTGAAAAATTTCATTGCTCTCCCCCATTATGGGCAACATTGTATCTTCCGTTAGCAGCCAAACATAGTGCCTTCTCAACTCTTCCAGCAGCAATTATCAATCTATATGCATTTTAGAACATTCAGATGCAATAATATGTATGTACATATATATATATATATTAAAAAGAAAAACAGTTCCTTAAATCAAGTAACAAAATCTTAGGAAGATGGAACCATTAGACAACCAGTTCCCTTCAAATGGCCTCACAAAGTAGATCACGCAATAAGATCAAAGAGCAGCAGCTGCTACATAAATATATATACACTCTGAGAATTACCAGGAAGCTCAAACATAGATAGCTTATTAGCAAACACAGTCTAGACATCTGCTAAAGTTGAGTCAAAATGCAAAATTTCAGAGCTCACGGTATAAAGGTCCCTTTTTTTTCTTTTTTTTTCTATTTTATTTGATAAGTAGCCTATAGACCTAAAACCGAATTGGTAAACCAAATATCCAAGCACAGAGCTACATGCAGAGCTTGATCAAATGATGCTCATTACATATTGGGTAAGTAGGAATATTGCTTACATATGCATTACCCCCCCCACCCACCAATCGAAAGAGAAGAAAAAAGAAGAAGAGGAAACAGGAAAATACAATTAGGGAAATTGAAAAAGATTGAGAACAAGTATTAAGGGATTGAAGGACCACAAAAGAAGTCAAAAACCAGTCAAGTAAATTGAGCCAAAGAGAAAATGCAGTTCATATTTGATAAAAAAAAGTACCAACCGTCTTAAATGGATGAAATTAGCATAAGCAACTAAATGAACTTGATCAAGAGACAATTACATAGAACCCAGATCTATAATCACGAAAACCGTAGCTTTCAGTCAAAATCCAAGACAGATCCAAAAGCACAGAGAGACCCAGATGCAAAAGACAAGTCTAGAAGGCAAAGAAGCGCAAGCCCATGAACAGAGACGCGAATACCTAAAAGGAAAAGTGAGAGAAGGGCAAAAGGAGTACCTTATTTTTGAAGGATCAGGCTTGAGGAGGGGCTTTGCTTTGGCAGTGAAAAAGGAGAGGAGGTACTGTAGAAAGAGCGCTGCTCATAGCTTGTTAATTGCTTGCCGCTGCTGCTGCTTGTGGAGAGAGAAAGAGAGGGCGCAAAAGGGAGCCTGAGAGAGTAATGAAACGGACTGGGCCTCCGCTTATGGTGGACTATTAGGCGCAGAGAGAGAGAGAGAGAGAGAGGTCAAAGACGCAAAGTTAAAGAAAGCTTCTTTGTTTTGTTTTTGTTTTTTGGTTTTTTTTTTAGGATTCAATAATTTCATTGGTTTTTTGTCCCAAAACTAAAGGGGTCCGAATCACCAAACTGCTCCGAGGACTCACAGGAGTCAGGTCTTTCGCACCTGTCTGTCATATGCGGCCGGCTTCCCTCCTCTCTCTCTCTCTCTCTGTGTTTCTTTTTCCCTCGTCTCATATAATCATTTACTATTGCCAACTCAACTGGTTGAACTTGAAAGCCCCCATCAGTGGGGTGTTCTGTTTTTTTGTTTTCAATTTGTACTTTTGGATTTAAAAAAAAAACTGCATCTTACTTTGTTTGAGCCATGTTTATTTTTTGTTAGTTTAAGGCTACTTTAAGCCTTATTTACTGAACCAGTGAGGTCCCATTTGCAAGATGAAGAGACCGAACACCTCGTCTCTAGGTCGCTCTGGTTGCCTAATTTGGTACCCGCGATCCTTTATAATCACAACTAACGGGACAATGGTTGGTCAGATATGGGAATATGCCAATATGCCAATATGCCAGTATGCATGACTAAATCATCTAATCTCCCTTAACCGGAAAAATAAAATTAAAAAAATATAATCTAAGACATATGATATGTCCATTAATTCCTTTTGATTAACAGATTGGAATCCAATGCATTATGCACTGAAGGATTGAAGGGCTTCAGGTCTGGTGGGGTTTGGTCATTTAAGGTTGTCAACTTGGAGTTGGACCTTTTTTCCTCCGAAGCCATGTTAGCTCATGTAATTACCTTCATGAATACGTGTGTCGTTGCAAAGCAAAGCAAGCCAACAAACAAGGGCCCAAATTTCTGATGGGACAAGGCATCGCAGGTGGATCACTCAAACCCCGTACGTATGTATGTATACAGTATTCCATATGGATGTTGTTGACCAAAGAAAAACTCCTTATAATAATAGCTAGGAAGTTAAGTAAGAATTCCCACCACCAGTATGCATTGCAATTTGTAAGTCATGAAAATGGGAGAGAGAGAGAGAGAGAGAGAGAGGCCCCTTTAATTACACTTATATCCCTTTTCCTTGCTAGCAACTAGTTGCTATTGCTAACAAAACAACAGATGATTTTCACAACTGTATTTGGTCCCAACTCTCTATTTGGCCACACAAAAATTCTTATTAAATAGTTTAAACAAAAGGGGCCAGTTAGTTGGAGTCTATACATATCAACACTAAAATAATGCATGCATTTCAAGTTTGAGAGAATTTAACACCATCGCCATCGCCATCTCCATCCCCATCTCCATCTTTCTAAAAGGGATATGATTTAAGTATCTCCCTCCCTCCCTCTGTCAAATCCACAATCCTCCTTTTGTTTAAAGCAGAGAGAGAGAGAGAGAGAGAGAGAGAGAGAGAGCTGTTCATTGTATTGACAATTAAAGGGTACATATTCAATATAAAGCAAGCATATAAAATTGTAAATATAATTAATGTCATTCGAATCTGCGCTTAATTCCTTTTTGTTCCCTTAAGCTTCCTTTCAACATTTTGTACAAGTTGTACCAACTACACGTACGTGGTTAGGTAGCTAGATATATGTGATACAGTGATACTGGGCAGCCCAGGCATGCACTACTAGATCGAGTTGTATTGTATGCATATATAGGTTTATTACCCTTATTCCATATACACACGCATATACATATACATATATATATATACATATTAATTTGATGAGATATATTCATGTGTCATGGTCATGGTGGTTGTCACAAACATGTACTGTGGAAGCTTAATTATGTGGTCATTCATCATTGCTACAAAAACTAGTGAGTTATAATATTAGGCAGGCTGGCTAGAGATATAATTAATATCCATATATAATGCAGCAGCAACTGCAATTCCATCCACAATTAATCATTCATACCACAAAATCCATCGCCCTATAATTAATATTAACCAGCAGAGCAGGTGCATCGATCCACCTGCAGCAATCAACACATGCAATGCAACCTTCTCTCTCTCTCTCTCTTTTTATATATTTATTTTGGTAAATGAAATAACTTAAGTTATATCAACTTTCGCCACACAATAAATCAGTATCTAATCTATCATCCAAGTTATATCAACTTGGCAAGGCTACTAGTTGATAAGCTCTGCAACTCAAAGGCGCCGTCTGGGAACAGCATTCACTCAGGATGTTATTCGCACATCATTAATCAATTAATTCATTAATACACTGGAAGGAAAACAATGTCCAATCCAAACACAAGGGAGGGATTAGATCAAGTAAGCTACGGCCGCAGCAAGTCAAACATGTCGGAAACCTTGCTTGTATAGTACTCTGGTTGAGTCTTATTTGAAGGGTCCTGAAGAACGGATTCAGTCGTCACACCTGTTGTAATAATTTGTAATGATCGATATGAGCATAATTAGAGAATATAAAGGAAGCCAATCAATTACTGCCGCAGTGTTAATAATACCAAAAAATTGCTTCACCGGTGCGATATATAATATGAATAGGAACTTGTACATACCTGAAAGAACGAGGAGAGTTCTGCAGCCAGCATTCTGGCCAAACAATATATCAGTATCTAATCTATCACCCACCATACACATTTTGGAGCAACTAATATCGAATCTGCAAAACAAACATTACAATCAGTCAGATACGTACCCTCTGAATCTGATTCTCTGAACTGCACAAAGCCACAACAAATGCGAGTATCTGACATTCAAGGTACCCTTTAATCTTCTTTTGGCTTTTGCATTGTATGGATCTAAATCACTTGAAATTTCATATAATTATTTATTCTTTAGGAATATATATTTTTTAATATACAAAAAGTATACATGAAGGTAAACAGTGTTTTGATATTATTCCTTACTTCTTTAGTAAAAATTCCATCAGGAAATTAGAGGGCTTTCCAACTACAATAGGCTCCTTCTGGGTGGATCCACAGATAGCAGCTACCATACACCCAGCACCTGAAACCCAAAAGGGGAACTACTATAAAGCAAAGCTTTAAAGCTTATATGTCATGTTATCTTGAAATTTCTCGAGAATGGGATGTAAAAGAAGAAAGAACCGGGCCATTCTTGTAAATCAGTCATATGTCCAACTGCATCCCGATTGGTTGCAATGAAAAGGCATCCTGGATTTTCACGTATGCAAAGGGTTCCATATCTGCCATGTGAAGGGTAAGATATGTAAAGTCAAGTAGTGAACACAAAATAAGTCTTGCATTTGCTTTTCACCTAGCTACCAAATAGTAAAGATGCTGAACACCAACCAATTTCTAATCTAAATTTTTACTTTCTAACAAATGTGTTGTTACTCGTCATCTTTGCAGTTCATTTGCAAAAAACTGAATATAATAGCAAGATCATATTTAAAATTTTCAAGATACATATTATCATAACTGCAAGGGGTCATTGACTGGAAATTGCAGAGAAGGAAGCAGGAGTTTTAACATTCTTACTGAAGCTTGTAATAGTTAATATACTGGTCTAGTCCAACCACAACTGCTCCAACCTGGGAATAGGAATCACAACATATTTAGCCTATGCAGAAATAAGAGTCACAACACAAGTCAAAACAATTATGGGCAAGAGGTTACATTACACTCTTATCATGTTCAAAAAGGCAATTTGATTTCAGTTGTGCCGTTTTTTTACCATCTTCCTGCAATGTAACGTTTCATCAGTATCTTCTAAGGTAAGATTCCCATGAGAGAAGGTAAATCAATTTCTCAAAGTTGTGTCTTACCATATGAATATGAGAAAGGGAGCATCATTTAGAAATGTTACAAGTTTAATGCCAACTCGAATCATGAAACATAGTTTAGGTTCCACAGTGAAAGAAATCTGAAGCTTATATACCGAAACAGATTGAACATGGTTCGACAAATATCTTTTGTTGTAGACAAAAGATATTGGGGTTCAAATGCACTCATAGGTGTCAAAATGCTCTATGATATAATTAGTCCAATTTGCCCTTCTAATCTAAAAGAATAATTGAAGAAAACAAAAGCAAACAGAAAGAAAAAGAGATTAGCTTACAGGGCCACCAAGAGCTGTAAAACCAGCAAGCTGCAGCTCTTCTAAAATACCTTGTTCCCCTATTACATAAACCTACAAAGAAAGCAAGCAATGTAACACAGAAAGACAGTCAAAGACAAAGAAGAAGAAGCAGCAGCAAACCTTCTTGTGTTGGGGGAAGTTAATGAGTTGCAAGTACATAGCTGCGGCAAAGGATGAAGAGAATATCTCATCCTACAATCAATCAATCAATTTTGAAGAGTGAGAGAGAGAGAGAGAGAGAGATATATATATATATATATATATATATAAAGGAGAAAACTGACCTCAGTAACCGAAATGCCAAGAGAAAGGAACTTGTTGGCGTATTGGCTTCTTGATTTTGTGGAATTATTGGTAACGAACACCAGCTTCTTCCCCTAATTTATCAGCCAATTATTAATTTACTTAGTATGATTAAGAATTGGTTGTAATTTATTAATCAATCAGAATACGGAAATGGAAGAAAGAGAGAGTGCCTTTGATCGAAGCATGTGCAGTGTCTCAGGGACACCATCGATCAGCTGATCGCCCTTCCAAATCACACCTGCTCATTCATTGCTAATCGTAATTTGTTTTATTTATTTATAAGGCATTGCTATTTTGCTAATATCATAATATCAAATGCTCGAATAAAATTTATAACAAAATTAAATTAATGCTTTAATAGAATAGAAGAAAGAAAAGTAGAAAAAGACCGTCGCAGTCGAAGAGAAAAGCTTGGACAGAATCGAGGAGCTGGTTCACGTTATGGGCAGACAGCAGCTGGGCAGGGGAGGAGTTCATCGTCAAAGGTTCAAAAGCTCTCACCAAATGCCAAGGCTTCTGACTTCACTTGTTAGTTAGGGTTCAAACATCAAACAACGGCTCTCACCAACCAAATGCTTCACGCAATCAGATACAGTGACACTGACTGACGACTCCTCAAAAAACAGGAGAGGGTTTTTCACTTTTACATTTACTAGCCTCCCTCCCGAGTCCCGAGTCCCGAGTCCCGAGTCCCTTCCCCCTCCCGGGCCGCACCCGCAGTGCACTTTGCAAGTGGCAGGCACACTTCCATAATCCCATTCCGTGAGCGTTACGTTAGTCCATACAATACAATCCAACAAACAAGCCGAACATTATTTCTGGGCCTCGTGGCCCAAGCTTCGCATGTCTTTGTCTCTCTTTGCCATCGCAGAATCCAAAATGGTGCGGCCCGCTCCAGACCATAACTAGTAAAGCACAGCCCATCAGCAATCAACTGAGGCTTTTCTCGTTATAATTTTCACTGCTTGACGGCCATGGAAACAAAAAAGGTAGTTGAAAGTCAACTTCGCTTTAATCGGAGTACATTTGTTGACCAATAATCCAGCCGGAGTATGTAGGAAGGAGACCTATGAACAACATATGCCGCATGAAAAGAAATATTAAATTTCATCGGTGGTATATGGTGTGGTGATGGTGATCATCACAAAAGAAAACAGGTACATCTCACTGAAAACAAAAATTTGCTTTGCTTTAGTCAATGTTTTATTACATCTGGTAATTTTAAATCAAAAGTTTATTTTTTTATTATTCTACAGAAATGCAAATGCAAATGCAAATATTAATAAATAATTTTATGCGTGACAGTCGGATGAGGGTCATTGACACATTGTTGTTCTAATTCGGCGGCTATAGTTAATTGAAGTCGTCGATAGGCGCCCCCCATTAAATTTGAATGGGGTATTTTTCAATGTTGATGGCTGGCAGTGGCTTGGTTTCTGAGATATACTCCTACACCTACTTGTCTATTGCACTCACTTCTCATTACGTATTCCCACCACCAACCGTCAGATGGCTGGCTTGATTCAAGTGTTTGATTTGAGAAATGTTAGTTGTCTTCTCATTTAGTTTGTATTGCATTATTCATATGTAAATTTATATATTTTAATGCAAAATACTAATATTTTGCTTATGAAAATAATGAGCGGAATATACAATGAAAGCAAAAAAGGAAATGTAGTCAGCATTCTTCAATCGATTTTAATGGCCAAACAAAGGTAGAATTGACTTGAGCAATATACGTACGTATCGATGAGTACGGGGGTGGGTGGTTGCACTGGGGCCCGGCATATTCGTTTATTATTCAGTTGCGTCAACAAAACACCCCTGGGCTGGGTCGTGTAAATACTGCCTGCCTAGCTGGGTGTAATAAGTATAAGCAAAGAAAGTATAGGCAACAGCTACAGCAGCACCAAAACAAAACAGACGAAGGAATCATCTCTCTACCTAATTCAGCAATTGTGTACTCCCCCACGAGTCACCAATGGGGTGCTGTCGTCGTCTCGTCGATCACTTCCAAGTAATGGGAATTGGACTTTGGCCGTTATCCTATCTCATGACCTCACCTTTTGTGCTTACTACTATTATGCCCTTACTCCTCTCGTGGTTGGTAGATAGGATCATAGACGAGTAAACCGGCAAAATATTTTATTACCAATAGTCATGCATGCGTTAAAAGTTTATGTATTTGGTCCTAAAAGTTTGCTGCTTTTACCCTTCCTTCTTCTTCTTCTGAAAATCAATTTTGTCATTCCCTTTTATTATTGTAGTTTTAATTCGGAGCAATTCAATGACACGTTTCAATTTATATCAAAATCCTCTGAATTCCATTAAGTTTGATCACGCGCCCCTCACGCGTGGATGATTATTTCTTTCAGTTAACTCAAACCATTTAACAGTAAAACATAAACTTGAACTCTTCCCATTCACTTTAGGTGCGATTAGGAGTTTGAAAAGATTTGCATCTCCAAGTTACAATTTGGGTGAATTGGGAGGAATTTAGCTCGAGTGGACCAAAATATCCCTTTGCGTGAGGGGCACGTGGTCAAAACATAAGAGAATTGAGATAAATTTTAACATAAATTGAAACATGTCCTTATCCAATCAAAATGCAAATAAAAAAATTTCAACAAATTTACGTGACCTTAAAAAAACAAAATCATGTAGCTTGTGCATTATATGATGGATATCATATACATTTGTATTGTGGAACATGAACCTCTGTAATGAGGCAAACATTTAGATTGGGTTGTGTTTATAAAATTGAGATATCCAAAATACTTTGTGAGGGGATGCAATGAAATAAAATGTATGTAGAATGAAGTTTGGAAGCCAGAGCAGTACAAAAATATGCGCAGCCAATACCTCCCAGTAATTAATTACGAAAATGTGTCATAAATGAGATAATTACATTGTTAAGGTAATCATAATAGCAGCAGCATACATTTGGTTGTTACATACCAAATTGGTTTGATATAAGGGCGGCAAAGTGTATTATCCATTATTCTATATTATGAATTTACTATTCATTTATTTCAACTTACTTTTTTATTTTATTGGAAGAGATGCTTTATCAGAATATCATAAGATTATACAGCGGAGATAATGACTTATTTCAACTTACTTCAATTGTATTTTTTCCTTTTCTTTTGATTTTTTTTTATTTTAATGAAAGGTTCAGTGGCTTTTTGAACACACACAACTTTATAACCGATGCATCCATTAAATTCGGGAAAAAGCCCCAAAATTCGGCATGGAGCCTGGCATAGGCATAATGCCATAATCCGTGAAAACCTGCACATTCGCAAATAATTTTATTAATATATATTTTTCTATTGTTTATTGTATTTGACTATATATCGGTGGATTCTAAAATCGTAAAATGCCGCGTTAAAAAAAGCCCCAATATTCTGACTTGTGCAGTGAGAAATCCAAGAATGGCAACAAGTGCAATTTTGGTAGAATGCGGATCCAATTGTGGAAGAAGATCCAGTTTAAAAGCTGAAAGTCACTGACTCATTTTTATCCCTCTCTAGTCTCTAGTCTTATTATATACATTACAAACATCAAGCGCATCTCTGCCTCTCTCTGAGTCTGGCATGGCGGATCTGAAGTCAAAGTTTCTCCAGGTCTACTCTGTTCTTAAATCGGAGCTCTTGGAAGACCCTGCTTTTGAATTCACCAACGACTCTCGTCAATGGGTCGAGCGGGTACCATCTTCATTTTTTACTTTTAGCTTCAATGCCATGCTGCTTGTTTATTTTCAATTCGAGCTCGATAATGATGAATTGCTTCCTTTGTTCATGAAAACGAGAGAGGACCTCACTCAGAAGCAATATACAAGTACAGGGAATAATGGGGTTGCATCACATACATATATAAGACAGATCGTATTGATTTCAATTTTGAGAAAATGCTACATAAAATAATTTCACAATCTGTGGTGGAAACTGGGTTGTCAGCAATGCATTTTACATTTGTTTTGCTCACATCATTAGTATTAGCCAGCTTAGGAAAAGAAAATCCCAGGGACAATATCAAGTACAGAAATCGAAGCCCACTTGCATTTGGATGTGAATAATTCTGCTATCCCAGAGAATGCCTAGACATTTGAGGTTCCATACATTAGTTATACAGTCCTTTAGTCCCTTATACTTCTTAATTGCATCTCCTAGAAACCACCTAGGAGGACTCTAGGACTTTCTCTAATCGCATGTTGATGCCCTCCTACATTATCACTAGTTCCCAAGAGTAATTTTCATTTTTACGTCTTTGGTTGGTTGCTAATAATTTGGTATAGTAACTTTTGGCATACAGATGGGTTCCTCTGCATTGCATGTGTGTGGTGCGTAAGCATTATTTCATTAATATATGTACCTTATCTTTGGTTCCTGACTTCCCAATTTACTTTTTTCTGTTACAGATGACGGACTACAATGTTCCTGGAGGTGAGGGTTCAAAAGTCACGTGAACTTTTTAACCAAAATTTCTTGTGCATTAAATTCAGTTTATCAGGTTAGCTCTTATTCAAGCACTTCTGACTCTTATTCTATCTTGCAGGGAAGCTGAACCGGGGATTGTCTGTTATTGATAGCTATCAGCTGTTGCAAGAAGGAAGGGAATTAACTGAAGATGAAATCTTCCTGGCCAGTGCTCTTGGTTGGTGCATTGAATGGGTATGATAAACCACTTCCATTATCATTTGAGCATGTGAATTCTTTTTTAGATATTACTGTTCTAGTTGCTTTAGCTTTTCTCTCGTTCATTGCAAAAGAAACTTACAATTTGATGGTGATACTACTTGCAGCTTCAAGCATTTTTTCTGGTTCTTGATGACATCATGGATGGCTCTCACACACGGCGTGGTCAACCTTGCTGGTTTAGATTGCCCAAGGTTTGTGGGAAGGGTGAACGTATACAGGTTTCTTAGTTTAATTTGGTGTTGTGATTGTTAGTAAAGCAACTAACTTGTGAAACTGTATTGTGTAGGTTGGTATGATTGCAGTAAATGATGGAGTTGTACTTAGAAACCATATTCCAAGGATCCTCCGAAAACACTTTAGGGAAAAGCCATACTATGTGGATCTTCTTGATTTGTTCAATGAGGTAGTGGACTTGCAGAGTGTTGGCCTGATCAGTTTTCACTTTAATAGAAAGCTAAAGGCTAACTTATGTCATGTTTCCATAGGTGGAATTTCAAACTGCTTCAGGTCAGATGATAGATTTGATCACTACTATTCAAGGAGAAAAAGATCTGTCCAAATACTCTTTGTCAATGTGAGTGAAATATTGTACAAAGATTATTGCAATAGTAAAATGTTTGTAGACATGTTAAGTTTTTAAAATAAGTAACCAACCCTTGTGCTATTCCTATTAAGAACTTAATGCACTATGCTGCAGAAAAGAATTACAAGAGCTTGCATGAAATTCACAAATGCATGTTGAGGGTTGAAGATAATCTCATGACAAGGACTGATCTTTTGCCTGCTTTCGTATAGTGTTTTCATAAGCCTTCACTAATGATGGCACATTTGGCCGTCTGTACAATATGTAATGCTTATGCATTCTGTGATCTATGGGTTATAAAGGTCTAAACAGCTTGGGTTCATGACCACTTATTTAATTCCTTGCAATAGGCTCTGAACTTTTGGCATGGTATGCTCGCCAGCAGAGTTAAATCTCTGCAGCTGACTGCATATTTCATTATTTTTTCTGAACACCTGTGGCCAATATTCTCACTCCTTGGGCTTAGGACCATTGGAACCTTTAGAGACCTTTTAATAGACTATGAGCATGGCATGCAGGGTAACTGGAGATAAATCTAGCAATGTGACTGTATGGTTTTCCTTTTAGTTATTTCCTAAAACGTTAATTGACTATGTTTTCTATTTCTATCATGCTATAGTATCATGCTATTCAACCTTCTATGTGTTTGTTAATGTATAAATGGTTTGGATCTCTTGCAGTCACCGGCGTATTGTTCAGTACAAGACTGCCTATTACTCGTTTTATCTTTCAGTGAGTACTTATTCTTTCAGCACTTAAAGCAATTACTTCTTGAATTGTTAGTATCTTTTTCAATTCCAGTGTGTGTGAAACCATTACATGTAAATCGAGTATAATACATCCTTGTTCCCAGTATATAAACTTTCTTTGGTCTCTGTTTAAGTCAATAAGAAGTCTAATTTGAGAAGTACACAAAACATTTTGATGCCTAAAATAGTATTCATACCATAAGATATTCACATTCTATGGCGTCTTATCTTATTTTCTTGTGTTTTACATTGAAGGATTTGTCTGACTGTTTTCTACTCAGGTTGCATGTGCATTGCTTATGTCAGGTGAGGAACTGGAAAACCATATTGATGTAAAAAACCTTCTTATTGAGATGGGGATCTACTTTCAAGTACAGGTAATTTTTTGTTGAATATACAAAATACCTGTAATTATTCTTTTGCGTAAATCGTCCCCCCTCCACACAGTGGAACTCCTCAGTTATTTTCAATAACCTCTTTTTTTTTCTTCTTCTTTTAATAGGATGATTATTTGGATTGCTATGGCAATCCTGAAACAATTGGTAAGGTGAGATTCGGGGAGATGTATATTCAGCCTTAAATAGTTGAGTATTTCTTCTGTTGCTTTTTTATGGGAATTCTTAGTCAAGTACTTTGTTTGTGCTATCAGATAGGAACAGACATTGAAGATTTCAAGTGCTCTTGGTTGGTTGTGAAAGCTTTGGAACTTAGCAATGAGGAACAAAAGAAAATACTATATGTAAGAGTGCCTTTTTAAATAATTTAAAAAATTATTGTCTGTTGTTTCCTAATCAAAATGAAGTGTTGTCACTTATGATGCGTGTGTGTTTGCACAGGAGAACTATGGGAAAGCAGACCCAGAAAATGTGGCAAAAGTAAAAGCCCTCTACAAAGAACTTGATATTGAGGTTGGAAGTTAATCGTATGAAATTAGTCCTAGAGTAATAAAGAGTATAAGATTTCTGGTATTGGTAGGTGCTGACAGGGTGTGCTTTTTTTAACCCAACCAACTTTATGATTCTGATAGGGTGCATTTGCGGATTATGAGAGCAAAAGCTATGAGAAGCTGACGAGTGGTATTGAAGGTCACCCTAGCAAAGCGGTGCAAGCAGTGTTGAAGTCCTTCTTGGGCAAGATATACAAGAGGAAGAAATAGGAATATGTGGCTTTGGGAAGGACAGAGCTAGGTTGGAAGATGGTGAATTTTCCGGGTTGTCGTTGCTGATTTCTGCTTCAATTTTTCTGTAAAAAAAAAAGTGAGAAAGAAATTCCAGTCGTGTTGTATTTGTGTTTGTATCCTAGTTTATTGCCTAAGGTTTTGCTTGCTTAGTTCAGTGTTGAATAAACATCATTAATCAATCAAAGTTCATAACATTCTAATTCAGACTGATGCAATGAGCAATCTCTCTCTCTCTCTCTCTCTCCCTCTCTACATATATATATATATATATATATATATGTATGTATGTATATACACATTATATGATCACATAAGTAAAGTTATGAGACATGTAGTGATTGTCAAACCTGAAGCTGATTACCAGCTTCAACTGGAGAGGGTGGGTAAAGCGTTTTTCTAATTAATTTGAGTAAACTAGAAGAAGCAAGCAGGCCCTGCCCCAACTCCAGTTGGCCTTAACCTTAGGCCTACATCATACATTGACTTGACATTAAAATAGCTCTAGAGTTTCATTTCCAACAGTATTAATATACATAAATAAACAAGCTGGTGGGGTTGAGCAACTGATGCGGGTGAACCGTGAGTGAATTAATGGATCCCTTCATAGTAGCTGTGGCTGTCGACTAAAGTACCTTGCCTATTCTTTATTTAGACACACCAATAAATAAATTAGTTAATTAGTCAAGGTCATTTATTTTTCATTTGGTTTTGGTACTTGTTTAAATTAAGTACAAGTTAATTAGTAATTCCTTCCTAATTTGTAATAATACTAATGAAATATTAAAATCAAGGCTACTACCTCGTGGGATGGGATGGGATGGGACGGGACGGGACGGAACTGGCAGGCCCAACCATAGCCAACTTAACATACAAAACAAAACGTGACAAAAGACTCTCATGGGAAATTCCCCATACTCTAATCATTCTTTTTAAACAAGAGGAGCAGCTGCAAATTGCAAAACAAAGACACTCAACTAATTATTAGTATTATTAATACGCAATCTATTACTTGCAAACTCTGAGAAATAGAAAAGAGAAAATGAAAATGTATTTTAATTTAGAAAGTCAAAAAGTCAAACATCCTACGCGCAGTAGGAAGTTGAACCAGACAGAGAGAAGAATAAAAATAATAAGGCTACTAAAATAAAACAAAGGAAGCCAAAAGTCTCTGAGCTTTTAAACTTTTACTTCAAACATCTCCCTTCCGCTGACTCGCCCAGCTTTCCATTTTGATCATCCATTTTACCCCCCCCAAAAAAAAACAGACTTTCCATTTTGGATTGGATTGATGATAAATTTCCCTTCTTCTTCTGAAACTATCTTTCTTTCTAATTTTAAAGGGTTTGGCCGTTGGGCTCCTGTTGTGTCGATCTCTTCTTCCTCTCTCGCATTCTGTTTTTGTGTTTTCAAATTTCCGTTTAATTCAGAGAAATAAAGAATTCAAATTGTTATTAGCATTATCAATTTCGGGTATTCAGAAGCTCCGACGATCAGGCGATTTTCGTTGCATTGCCAGTGCGTGACAAGTTGGAGATTTTTCTTCTGAAGTTTCCCTTTTCATGATGTCATTCGTTTCATTCTATTCGTACATTTCATAATCCCACCCATTTATTTGATCAATTTTATCTTTTTGGCTTTGCTTTTGTTTTGTTTATTTGTTTAATTGTATCCTTATGTTGTAAATTGTAATTTTCGCATACATACATACATACATACAGACAAAGGATTGGAAGAATTTTTATCTTTTATCTTTTATCTGAGTGAATGATCAAACATGAAGCTGGTGGTTCAAGTAATGGGGGCTCGAGATCTGCCAGCAATGGATCTAAACGGGTTAAGTGATCCGTATGTGAAGGTGCAGCTCGGAAAGCAGAAGTTCAGGACCAAAGTGGTGAAGAAGACCTTAAACCCATATTGGGGAGAAGAGTTTGCCCTGAGGGTTGAGGACCTCAATGAGGAGCTACTCATCTCTGTTTTGGATGAAGACAAGTACTTTAACGATGACTTTGTTGGGTGTGTCAAGCTCCCTGTTTCCCAAGTCTTCGATGCCCGCAATAAGTCCCTTGAAACTGCTTGGTACCCTCTCCAACCCAAGAGTAAAAAGTCCAAGAACAAAGATTGTGGTACGCTACCTACCCACTTACCTTCTTTCTTATCCCATAGATGACATAAATGATAAACCTTCCTCATTCCTTCATTCCTTCTTGTCTTGTGCTATCTATTATTATTCATTTCTGCTGTGTGTTATTGATATTTGTTAGTAAGGATTTGCATTGCTTCACTTTCTGTCAATATACCCAGTTCAAACTGTTGCAATCAGCTTCATTGGCTTATTTTTTAATTGAAGTTGCATCTCATGCCTCCTTTTTTAGAACAAAACTTGGGATTCTTGTCCCAAATTGAGATGTTCTTCAGCTATTTGAGTTAAAATTGCAAATTGCTTACTGGCAATGCCTATTTGTGAATTGTAGTTACTTGTCATAATATATATTATATATTTTTCCCTCACAGGAGAGATTCTTTTGACGATACATTTTTCTGTAAACAATTCATTTGCGGACTCAGCTTCTGATGGTGGTGACATAGGATTTGAATCACCTTCAAGGTCTTTCAGTGGTCCATCTGAATCAGCTTCTCCTGTGAGAGCGAGACAAGAAGAAACCGCAACCTTTAAGGAAGAGAAGCTTTGTACGCAGAAGACCCTTGCTGGTCGAATAGCTCAGATGTTCAATAAAAATCCTGATACAGTTTCAGCTTCCTCTAGCAGAGTTGACTTGACCGATCTTGCTGAAACTGCTAAGTCCGAGGTTTATGAGAGCAGTTCTGAGGATCAGTCCTCTTCTGCTACATTTGAGGAACTAATGAGAACAATGCAGTCACGAGATCAAGTGAGTGAAACCCCAAGCAACTTACCAGGAGGAGTGCTTCTAGATCAATTGTATGTCACTCCACCCCAAGACATAAACACTTTCCTATTTTCACCAGATTCAGGTTTTCCAAAATCACTCGCAGAAGTGCATGGAACTACAGAATTGGAAGTAGGACCGTGGAAATTAGATAACAGCAGCGAGAGCGTAAAACGAGTAGTTACATATGTTAAGGCAGCAACTAAGTTGATAAAGGCTTGCAAAGGAACTGAGGACCAAGTGTATCTCAAAGCTGACGGGAAGGTTTTCGCAGTTCTATCAAGTGTAAGCACTCCTGATGTTCCGTATGGGCGCACTTTTAGGACAGAATTGCTCTACTGCATTACACCTGGGCCTGAGCTGCCATCAGGAGAACAATCTTCACGTTTGGTAATATCTTGGCGGATGAATTTTCTGCAGAGCACCATGATGAAAGGAATGATAGAAAATGGAGCCCGACAAGGTTTAAAGGACAGTTTTGACCAGTTTGCTACTTTATTGTCCCAGAATGTTAAGCCAGTTGATTCAAAGGATCTTGGGTCCAATAAGGACCAGGTTCTGGCATCACTGCAAGCTGAACCCCAGTCTGATTGGAAGCTGGCAGTGCAATATTTTGGCAATTTCACTGTGGTCTCCACTGTATTTATTGGGTTGTATATGCTTGTACATATTTGGCTTGCCACACCCAGCACTATTCAAGGGCTGGAGTTTGTTGGGCTTGACTTGCCAGATTCAATTGGTGAATTCATTGTCTGTGGTGTCTTGGTTCTTCAAGGAGAAAGGGTGCTGGGGTTGATCTCACGCTTCATGCAGGCCAGAGCGCAAAAAGGTACATCAATCTTAGTGGTTGCTCTTTCTTATTAACGACAACAGACTCTTATCCTGTTATCCTTTCTCTAGCTGAGAGTCTGATCCTTCTATATTACACAATTCATTCATTCATTGTACGGGAATGAGTTAGATGGATTAACAATTACTATCAGCATCACAATACTTGCCTGGTCTTTTATCTACTCCCATAAATTCCACTTTTTAAACAGAGAACTGCATTATTTTTTTTACTGCTTTTGCTTGCTCATCATTTATTTTTCTCCTCTTTTTGGGGGACACAAACTTTGCATGTCCCGAACTGTTTCTAAGCTGTTCTATGTTTATATATATATATATATTTTTTTTTGGTTTCAAATGTGATTTATCCTTTATCTTCTTTGTGTGTCTAATAATAGGCAGTGATCATGGAGTCAAAGCCCAAGGAGATGGTTGGCTGCTAACTGTTGCCTTGATCGAAGGAAGTAACATAGCAGCTGTTGATTCAAGTGGGTTCTCTGATCCGTATGTGGTGTTTACTTGCAATGGGAAAACTAGAACCAGCTCAATCAAGTTCCAGAAATGCGATCCCACATGGAATGGTGATTTTCATTTTATTCTTAATCAACTTTGTTTGATTTTGAATTTATACTTCTTCTGAAGACATTTTTCAGTATATAATTGATTATAAATGTCAATCTAAAATTTAGAATATATTTTTAGATTATGCAACATTTATAAACTAAATCTAGGTCTGAATTGATTTCTTGTTGCTCGCAGAAATATTTGAGTTTGATGCAATGGATGAACCTCCTTCTGTGCTGGATGTGGAAATCTATGATTTTGATGGACCTTTTGATGAAGCTATCTCTCTGGGCCATGCTGAAATCAATTTTGTAAAAACTAATATTTCAGATTTAGCTGATCTGTGGGTTCCTCTTCGTGGAAAGTTAGCTCAGGCATGCCAGTCAAAACTCCATCTGAGAATTTTCTTAAATAACACAAGAGGTGGCAATGTTGCAAATCACTTTTTAACAAAGATGGAGAAGGAAGTGGGCAAGAAGGTACAGCAGTTCAATACTTCTGAAATTCATATTACCAGTGTTCTTTTTCTTATATTCCCTTTTTAGTAGTGTTCTACATTCCTTTCATATATTCCTGCTCATGATTTTTAATCAACCTATTGTAGATAACTGTGCGGTCTCCTCAAACAAATTCAGCCTTTCAAAAACTGTTTGGGCTTCCACCGGAGGAATTTCTCATCAACGACTTTACCTGTCACTTGAAACGAAAAATGCCTCTGCAGGTGCTGTTAATATGGTTACACATCTGTTGAAATTTTCCTAACACTAGACTTTCCATTTTTTTGAGCCATACCTAGAGAAAGTAACCTTTTCTTTTGCTCCTCAGGAACTGTTATATGCATCGTTAGTTAAATTTCACTTACAGTTCTTCCCTTGCAGGGCCGCCTATTTCTTTCTGCAAGAATAATTGGATTCCATGCAAATTTATTTGGTCACAAGACAAAGTTTTTTTTCCTCTGGGAGGATATAGAAGAGATTCAAGTTGTTCCTCCTTCTCTGTCATCTATGGGAAGTCCAATTGTAGTCATGACTCTGCGGCCGGGTAGAGGTATGGATGCAAGGCATGGTGCAAAGACACAAGATGGGGAAGGCAGGCTGAAGTTCCATTTCCAGTCCTTTGTGTCTTTCAATGTAGCGCACAGGTACTCGAAGGGCATCCTAGAATACTCTGGCATTCACTTCTACAAAATTGAAACGTTTTTATTATTTTTTGTGAGCTTTTTGTCTTTAATTGTTTAATATCATCTGATTGGCATATGTTTGGTCTGCCTTTGTCTTCTTTTTTAATTAAACTAGATATCTTTCAGCATATGTTTGGTCTGCCCTTGCCTTCTTTAATTGTTGAATATTGTTAGGGTATCATCTGTTGTGCATGAGTATCCCATCTCAACTGACCTTGTACCATTTTCTGAACAATTGATGCTTGCATAGGATAAGAGTTGATAATGAAAACAATGTTCTACCACGGTAAAAGAATAAACATGATATCATATCTCATGTTGACTCAAACATCTGATATTTCTGAATAGGACAATCATGGCTCTTTGGAAGGCTAGATCTTTGAGTCCTGAGCAGAAGGTGCAAATAGTTGAAGAAGAATCTGAAGTCAAGATCCAAAGTGAAGAGAGTGGGTCTTTCTTAGGCCTTGATGATGTCAGCATGTCCGAGGTTTATTCTTCTGCTCATTCAGTTCCTGTGAGCTCTCTCTCTCTCTCTCCTCCCCCCCCCCTCTCGAATATATCAGCATCTCACCCGCTTTAGGGTTAGAACTAAACCCTTGCTTTTCCCCTTCTGCGGATGCTGTGCCTCATGGAATCAGAATAGTTAAATTAAAGCTTCCTTCTAGATTATGTGCTGTGTGTGTGGCACTCATGACTATACAGATTTCAGTTCTGATTATTTTAGTGTCTGCATTGTGTTAACATATGTCTTCAGTGACCATAAAATTTGTCTTGTTCACAATTTTAGACAAATTTCTTCGTGGAGCTATTTGGTGGAGGTGAATTGGACCGTAGAGTTATGGAGAAAGCTGGTTGTCTTAACTATTCTTATACCCCATGGGAATCAGAGAAGGGTGATGTGTGTGTGAGGCAGATATATTACAGATTTGATAAACGTGTTTCCCAGTATAGAGGAGAGGTGACTAGTACTCAGCAAAAGTCCCACCTTTCTGATAGAAATGGTTGGCTTGTTCAAGAGGTCTCGACCCTCCATGCAGTTCCGCTTGGTGACTATTTCAATGTATGAATGACATGGAACTTATGTAGAACTCTGCTTAAATAATAGTTTTTGTAAATGTCCCCTGACTCACCTTGTTTCCCTGCATCGTTTGCAGCTTCACATTCGATACCAAATCGAGGATTTGCCCTCAAACTCAAAGGGATGCCAGGTGAAAGTATACTTTGGGGTTGAGTGGCTCAAAGGCACTCGGCATCAGAAAAGAATTACGAAAAATGTACTAAAGAATCTGCAAGATCGCCTGAAAGACACCTTCAGTGTAGTTGAGACGGAATTCACAAGATAGTGGGTGGATTTGGGGCATTTCTGGGATTGTAGGCATTTGACATGAAGAGTGCTGTAGAAAAAGCACATTTTTCCTGATATTTCATCTATGGCCAAGTCTAGCAGAATTGAGCTTGACTGCATTATGTGTCAGCTTGGAGACCATCCAAATGTGTGTTTAAGCATTGGCTTGCAGAGGTGGTGCAATAACGTTGGTGTGATGGATTTTGAAGGTGTAAGCGTGTATCTAGATGCTCTTCCGAGTACCGTGGTCCTGGAGTAGACGAAACAGTGCTTTGTGGCTTTGAGATAAAAAAGTGGACTAGTTTAGGAGGGCTACTTGGTAGTTGCTTGGTGGTTGTGAATAACAGGTGCAGAGATTATGCAATAACGTGGTCATCATATTATGAAGGTTTAATTCCTCAACCTTGGTAGTACATATGGAAGTGGCAGGTCTAGTTTTTGTGGTCTTGCCATTTCTGGCAAAAAGCAGCCCTACTTGGTGTTGGTGGTGGTGGTGGTAGTGGTGAATGGTGATCATTCTTTTAGAATAGCTCAAAGTCCGATTATTCTTTTTGTTTTTGTTTCAATAGCAGTACCAAATTGTAGTTTAATTTGATGCGGCCAATTGTTAACTTGCGATCATAAATTCATTATTTAGTCTTTTCTTGGTCAACAGCTGAACTCGATTATTTATTTTTTTGCTCGAAAGCCATTTCTTCTTCTTCATTTATTCTTCATTTCCCGTGAAAACAAAGGGAATTGTAACAATGGGACTTGATTATTCCAAGTATCCTTGGAAGACTCATTACTGAAAACCATTTTGTAGTTTAACAAAGAAGAGAGTCAAGCATAAGAACAGGTACCCAAATTAGATTCATAACTACCTTGTAAAAGTTGAAAATTCAGGAAAAAATAATTGAACGCCAGCAACTGATGTCATGTCTCCAACATTAGTCTTGGAAATGCCAAAAGTTGATGTCTCCGGACTCCAGCATTACTCTTGAAAACAAAGGGTATTGGTTGCTGTGTGTATTATATCAATTCTAATTACCTCTCCCAGCTCCAAAAGTTAAAAAAGAATATAAAAATAAACAAAATAATAAAATCCCAATCCAGAATCTAGGGCAAAAAAACAAAACAAACAACAGAGTGAGGAAGCAATTAAATTTTGACCCAAAAAAAAACAAGGAAGCAATTAAATTGAAAAAAAAAACAGAGTGAGGAGGAGGGAAGGAAGCAAAGGCAGAGGAGGGAGGCAGCGGCTTTTAGGTTTTAGTTGTTGTTGTTAATGAAAATAGCTTGGAATTTCAAAGGCCCCTTTATTAGTTTAGTTCGCCCTCTAAAGTCTCCAGTCTCCAGTCTCCTCTGAAGCTCTCTGGTTAGGCAGTTCCTTCCCTCCGAGTCCAAGGCCTCTCTGCCTTGTTTGGCTTCGAGACTCTCAGACTGAGAGTTTGAGACTGCGAGACAGCTCCGTAAGTCTCTTGGAAATTCCTATAATTGTGCTTTTGCTTTTATTCGGCATTCGATTCTCGAAAAAACTGTAATTTTGATGGTTAGATTAGATGATGACATGAGATCTGCCTATTTTGCTTATTAGGCTTTGGGATGAGATTATTAGATTATAGCAGGTGATAGAAGACGAGGACGAGGAGGAGGCTTCTATTCTTTACTCTCTACTTTCTCTCCCTCTATCTCTTTCTTCGGTGGACTGTAGCTCCACTCCATTTTACAAGTTAGAAATAGAATAGAATAGAATTGTATTGATGTGATTCAGTGGTTGTTGGTGTGAGACTCCGATGCTTCTATATATATATATGTATATGTATATGTATAACTTTCAGAATTCAGATTTCACGTACATTCATCCTTCTCTCGATTCCTGAGTCCTGAGTCCTGACTCCTGACTCATTTACAGAACTGCATCATGTTCGGAAGAGCTGGCCTTGATCGATTTAAGAAAGCTCAGTCCTTGGAACCCTTTTCGCTCAATCCCAATTCCAATTCCAAATCCACTCCCTTGCCCTCTCTTTCGCATTCGCATCAAGCCCAACATCAACCCCCTCCTCCCCCTCTTGCACCGCCCGAGGCTGCCCCTCTCGTGGGGGTCGAGCAGACTCCGCAGCAGCATCTCACTCAGCTTGGTGGGGGTCAGTCCACTTGGCAGCCCCCTGACTGGGCAATTGACCCCCGCCCCGGTGTGTATTATCTTGAGGTTGTCAAGGAAGGTCAGGTTCTTGATCGCATTACTCTCGATACGCGTCGCAACATCTTTGGCCGCCAATCTCAAACTTGTGACTTTGTGCTGGATCATCAGTCCGTTTCCCGCCAACATGCCGTTGTTGTTCCTCACAAGAATGGAAGGTGAGTCGCACCTTTTCTCAGTTTTCCTTTTACATCATCTACATTCAGTTTCTATTTGCTTCAATTGCATATAGTCTTGTTATTTATATGTTGGTGTAATTAGTTTATGCTTGAATTCCAGCTGGGATAGCATAATTGGTTTGTACTTGAATTCCGGCTGGTTGTACATATCTGTATTGTGTGCTTGCTGTTGGTTTTGTTGATCAAGTGAAGGTTTTGTTGACCAAGTTAAAGTTTGTTCTGCATGAGGGTTCAGAACTCTTAGAAAATTGTGAAGAAAAGATGAACAAAATAAATACTCTACTAACTTTTATCTTTCCAATCTTAGATTATAGAGCCAGATGGTTGACTATTTCAATGGTTTTAGATTAAAGAAGAGGTTTCTATTTTTAGACAAAACAAGAGTAGCATTATGAACTGAACCATCAATTTCATGATTCAATTGATCATCTAGGAGTTTCAGGGATTGACCTATTTCACCACCATGCTTTCATGATGGCCATGGCCATGTCCATGTCCTTTCATATCCATGATAGTGTTGGGGTGATTGCTTGACCCGTTTGTGATGCTGTTGGAGTTTTCTTTCTTCCGTTTAGTGTCATTTACAAGCTTTATCCCTTCTGCAGCATATATGTAATTGATTTGGGTTCTGCACATGGCACTTTTGTTGCAAATGAACGAGTGACTAAAGATACCCCTGTTGAGCTTGAAGTGGGGCAGTCTTTGCGGTTTGCTGCATCAACTAGAACTTATATCTTGAGAAAGAATGATGCAGCTCTTTTTCCTCGTCCTTCACTGCCTGCAGAGGTTAATCTGCCTCCGCCTCCTGATCCCTCTGATGAAGAAGCTGTCGTGGCTTATAATACACTACTAAATCGTCATGGTCTGACCAGGTTTGACATAGGGCCTATGCCCCGTGAGTCTGGTGACTCAGGCACAAAAGGTGACACCCAGCAGCCAGAGAGAGCGTCCAAGAGAATTAGGAAGGCAAGAGTGTCATTCAGGGATCAAGTGGGCGGAGAGCTGGTTGAAGTAGTCGGGGTTTCAGACGGTGTGGATGTAGAGACTGAACCTGGTCCAGTAGGTGTAAAAGAAGGAAGTCTTGTTGGGAAATATGAATCCCTTGTGCAGATTACAGTAATACCCAAAGGAAAGGAGCAATTATCTGCAAAGGAAGACAATTCTTCCCAAAAAGGCATGACTGAAAAATTACAACAGGTCTTAAATAGAGTCAAAACTGCTCCAAAGGGTGGGATTTATGATGACCTTTATGGAGACTCTTTTTCAGGCAAAGTGGGATCTTCCTGGGCATATCCTTCTGCGGGTTCTAGTGGTAAACAAGGTTCTCCAAGTAGAGAAACTGATGAGAAGGCATTAAGTGTAAAGGTTGGAACTAACTTGAGCCACGCTGATGATGATGAGGATGATTTATTTGGTGATTGATTGAAGCAAGAACTCAGTGGATGATTTATTTGGTTATCTTTTTTGGAGGTTGAAAACCTTCCATGAAAATTATATGGTCTTGCTTCCCTTGTGAATGGGATTTTTGTTATAGCTCATCAACAAATTTCTTTGTATTGGCTTGCCCTGACTCGTAATCTCCAAGTTGGTTAAGGTCCGAGATTGTGGCTTCGAACGCATGTAAGTTTGTGGTGAGACGCTGATTGCGGGTTGGTGTGTGGGGTGGGGACATAGTTTTGTAGTGAGAGGGTTTGTCAATATCTTTGTTACTGTATCTCCTCGGTTCGTACTTCGTAGGCTTGTTAGAGACTTAAAACTTGAAACGTTAGTATGGCATGAAACATCTTAGAAAAACTATAAATATGTGCCAAGCCTGGCTTTGCTAATTACATATGTCTTTGATGATATATATTATATTTGTACTGACTGACATAGGTTTGTCATAATGTCACCATCCTGCAATTTGCATTGCATTATACTTGCGAAAGTGGCGTTCGCCGTTGGTCTTTTGCCCCTTGACCTCCTCCACTAAAGATTTTAGCTCTTCTGTTCCTGTTACCTTAAAATATGAAGTTCAAGGCAACGGGTAGCTTGGTTTGTGTATGATACTTGCATAATTAGAAATAAATAAAAAAATTGATTGAAACCTTATCAAACAAAGAAACAAGGAGAGTTTTCATATACGTCGGTGTGTGGCCCTAACAAAATACACACATACATACAAACAAAATACACAGATACAAACATGTATGTATGTACGTACGTAGAGGTAGAGTATAGACATGAAAAAGCAAATAAGTTGGCAAATAATTAACAGGAGAGATCAAAGAGGGGCATATGGGCAATGCAATGGGGTGTACACAACTGAACCCGATTGCCCAAATGAGGAAAGATCCTTGCTTTTTGGAAATTTCAGTACTACTACTACTAGGCTAGAGAGGCTAGGCCCATTATGATGGAGTAGAGATTGACTACCGCCATCACCTACCTGCACATGCATTGCAATGATGGAGTAGAAACTAAAGGAAACAATTAATAAGAAGGGAAAGATCATCACTTATTTTGTGTTAGTAATTTAGCAGATGTCAGTAATCGTAGACTAGTAGTACATATAATATAAGATTGGATTGGACAGGTAATGGGTATATTTGGCTCTACTACAATAACGTTTTATAATTTCTCATAAACTTAGTAACGGGAGATTTTCTCCATCCTATATACGGGTACATAGAAAGTAACAAAAAAAGAAGAAAGAAACTTTCTCATAACAAAAAAGGCACATGTGGTCGGGATTTTGCAAAGATTAGTTTTAGATAATGGGCAATGATAACCAGATCTAATTAAGAAACTGGAAAGTAATTTACGTACCTTAATCGACACTTTAGTTTATACTTTAGTGATGATATCATGATGATCGATCATCACTTGATAAGGCTAGGGCCGCTTGGCACTTAATTAGGTTGGAATCGAAGTGGCACAAATTAAATTATTTTAGGGTTGGAAATGAATAATATTAACAGTTAGCTCAGCCATCTTTCAATCAAATTCAAACGAAGAGATTATATTGAAGGGATGGGCCGGGACCCTTAAGAATGATCGCATATCATCTCATGTATCATTAATTATGAAATATCCAAAAAGCGATACACATACACGGGAATATAATATTGCACAATGCACACGAGTGCTTGTGTTTTGTGTAGAGCAGAGAGCTTGGTTGACACTTGAGAGAGAGAGAGAGAGTGGGAGAAATACTTGTCTGTGTCTGGCCCTGAAAGCAACCGACAAGGGGAAGGCATGGCAATCCCATCAGCGTGACTGCGAGATGTAACCAACGGTGCAGGAAAAGACACGTGGCCGACATGCATGGAAATATGAGAGAGAGAGAGGACCCAAGCCAACCAACTTTGAAAAGGGGTTGTGCAGTGTACAACAGTAGAAGAAGAATATACCTTACATAGTGGGGGAAAGCATGATGAGGAAATAAGATTAATTCACACACTCACTCACATATATACACAAACAAGGACAAGACTGGGGAGGGAGGGATCTGTCTTTAATTTCTTTCTTTCTTTCTTTCTTTCTTTCTTTCAATGTAATATACATATATATATAAAAGGTATATATATAGCTAACTAGGCTAAGGAGGACTAGCTAGAGATGAACAAGATGGCCCCACATGATAGAGCATGTTCCACCCCATGCCACTAGGAAGGAGCACTCTCTTTCTTTCTTTCTTTCTCTTTCTTTAAGGCCTTCTCACTTCCCACTTGCAATCTTTGCACAATCTGGCAATATTGCATGCTTTTTGTGATTTCAGTTGAATTATAATTCTGATTCAATCATAGAGCACCAATTTCAAGCTAGCCAGCCCATAGCTGTTGGACTGCTCTCGCTTGGACCTTTTGGATCCTGTCCTGGGGAGAGAGAAGAAGAAGAAGAAGAAGAAGAAGAAGAAAATTAGACGAGCTGTTCGCGTTCGCTAGAAGAGACCTGTCTTTTCCAATATATATCTATAAGGAATTCCCTTCTTTTTCTATTCAACCAGTTTATCATAATGTGCGTGCTTTTCATACATTACCATGTTGACTAATCCCAACCAACCACACAAGCACGCACTCTCTCTCTCTCTCTCTCTCTCTCTCTCGGGACTCATTTCTCTTTAGTTGGTGTCTCACAGTCACAGTAGTTGCTTCTAGCTAGCTATACAGAAACCCATAATTACTCTCTCTCTCTCTCTCTCTCTCTCTCTCTCTCTCTCTCTCTCTCTCACCGAGGGTTATATGCATGAAATATTCTATTTCACGTTGCATATATGCATCTGATCCTCTCACGTTCATTTGCACCCAAGCATATATATTAAGCCCTGCTCTCCTTGTTGCTGGCTAGTGGGTTCCCATCAGAAATTATATATATTAGTTGGATATTCATTTGGTTCTGCAGCTACACTTGCTTTCTCCAATCCAATTCAATCGGTCCACTCACTTGAAGTTGGAAGGTAAAGTTGCTGCTTTTTCTACTGTAAATTAATGGTGCTAGCTGCTGCCTTGGAATTCAACAACTTCAATTGTTTACTTGCGGTACCTTCTTCTTATTAATTTCATTTTTATCACTACTCACTGGAATAAGCATTTCTGTAAGTCATTAGCTGAGTCGTCCCACCACTGATTGATTGCTAATATGATCTGTTAATTAATTAGTATATAATAAATTGAGGGAGATTGGAGTGATCTGATTGATAATAATCTAGCTAGCTAGCTTACAGCTTATATGCGTGCAAATACATCTCTAGCTAGTGGCTTTCCATTCTGTTATACCGTACGTACAGATGAGATGAAAGAAGGAAAGATTCTGCCATACTTTGCTAGCTGCTAGAGGATAAGTATAAAATGTCCAAAAAGTTTAAAAAGAAACTAATTCCAATTCAATATGGACAAAATAGAAATGAACAAAACCTTGTGGAGCTTGTGGAGGGGCTCTTTATTATCAATGTCAAAAGTGAATTAATACAGTGAATATATTGTTTATGGTGTTGGGGATCTAGGTTTCTAGCTGGCCGGCTAGTTAAGTATAAAGCTACCTTTTACAAAAGTTTCTTGCAAGCTACTAGGCTTCTCTGGATTTGCATGCATTCCTACTTTGCTACTTGGAAGAAAAATCTCAAGGCCTTTTTTGCCATCTGATAACTGGTACCGCGTGTTGTGCCACATTATATATACATATACATAATACATACTCATATACATGCTTGCTTCTCTCTCTCTTTACCGTCACTTGTCTGTATAAGCACAGACCACGCTAGCCCTATCCATCTCCCATTTAAACCAATCGTATCGATCAATGGTGATCATAAAAAAGCCTACCAATAGTCTTGAAAAAGAGAGATTCTTCGTCCCCTTTCTTACATTTATACATGTTTTTTGTGCATTGATTAGAGTCTTGATTTGATGAAAAATATAGAGCCCCACTCCGATGGAGATGGAGGAATTCATATAAAATGTTATATGAATAAACCTTTCCCCTGATGATCCACACACACACTCTTTACATTCAGGCCAAAAAAAAACTAGTAATGATGTCATTTAAATGAAACTTTAATTATTGCATATAAATAAGTAAATATGAGTACAAAATTACTAAGTTCATCAGTCATCACTCATGATGTTGTTGGTATTTATTTATATCAGTTTCTGGTTGATGCCTTCCTAACGTACGTCAGTCAGTGAGTCAGAGTGAGAGATTCAGTGTAATTAAATGAGCTTCAACAACTTATATATATACTAACTTCCAAATGATTCAGATATAAAATATTTTGCATGGCTCGTGTTGTGGCAAACAAGCGAAGGCTGGAAAACCAGTATCCTCCAATTCCATTTGCCTCTTCAAGAGTAGACTGACACCCTTCTAATATATATTAATTGACTTCATTAATTGTTAATACCAGCACCAGCACCTGTCACAGTAGACACTACTGAGAGCAAAAATTACTTCTTCTTTTTTTTCCCCTTTTTTTCTTCTTAATTGATGTAATTTAGGAAAAAACCCCCTCCTCCTCCAATAGCTAGCTAGCTATAAATTAAAGGACTTGCGGCTGGGTGCTATGCAGGAACAATGCGTGATGGTGGGTCCTCGAGACACCTTGTTGGAGGAAAGATGATCATCAGGTAAGGGCCATAACGTCTACTTCACAACTTCATTCTGATATGATCGAATTTCCATAATTTTATATTTATTGTTTCTTTTTCTGTGACAATTTTTGTTTATAGCTTTCGATATGCATTTTTGTTCTTCTCTTCTTCTAACCCATCTTCTTCTTTTTTTCTTTAATTTTCGTGATTGTGGATTCTGGCGATTCCAATTTGCATGTTCATTCGGCTACTGAAACTATATTAAAATCAGCTTCGTACCTCGGCGGCAATCCTTCATAAGTTGTAAGTATCTCCTAAGTTGATCAGTTTCAGCTGATGAATTAGCTTGATATGAAACAAATTGCTTTGGTCTTTCTTTCTACTGAATCTAGCTAGCTAGTCGATACATTTATTTGTATTAATTAATTAATCAATCAGTTACCAATTCAGATGAAACTGCATTATTATTAATTTTAGGATCTGAATCTCTTTCAGAAATCATCCGAAAGGGCATATTGTTGCAGCAGTTTTTTTTAAGGCACAACTGTTTGATCTTTTGTATTAAAAGGAAAGTACCAATCCAGAAATGAAGTTTATGAAAATTGGGACCAAGCCGGACACCTTCTGCACAGAAGAAGCTAGCAGGTACTATGAGCTGTTTCCAATTTTGTCTCATACTCATATATGAGTGGAAATTAATTGACTTGTTTCACAAATTGTATGGAATGAATTTTCCGATGTGTATGAACTCACACACAGCTCACATAGTAAACCAAAGCTGCGTACTGGATTTTAATACGAAATGTTGTTAATTTGTGAGCTGCCACTCAGTACTCTCAACAATTTCAGCACTTCCAGAAGAAACTGATTTAATTTGTATGCGCAGGACTGTGATTTCAGATGTACAGAGCGACCTTCTCATACAAATTAACAACATCAGTTATCTTCTCCATAAGGTATGAATAACGAATCATGTACGTACCTCGCTGGTGCAAATGCATGGATTATCACAAATCTATATGCATACTAGTCTATGGTTGTGCAATCTTTCTGCTGATCAATTGATCAATACTTCCTGTGTATTTTTATGTTTAGCACATGGTGGTGCTTTTAAAGCATAAAGTATTCTTAAAGCATCATAAAACCGGAGAAAGAAAGGAAAGGAAGACCATAGGAAAAGAAATAGCATTTCAATATTTCACTGAAAACTATTGCAAAACATGCAGCCAACGGCTGTGTATATGTATGCTTGTTCTTGGAAAGGAAGAGATAATTGTGCTTTCTTAGCTGCAGTTTCCACTTGTTCCAAAATGTGGCCTCTTACAACGGCTTTGCTCTGACTCTGGTGATTCTGAAAAGGTCAGCATAGAGCTTCACGATATTCCAGGAGGTGAAGATGCTTTCGAACTGTGTGCTAAGTTCTGTTATGGAATTACGATTAACCTCAGTGCGTATAACTTTGTACCTGCATTTTGTGCTGCTAAGTTCCTTCGAATGACTGAGTCATTAGAGAAGGGAAATTTTGTTCCAAAACTCGAGGCTTTCTTCAATTCGTGCATTCTTGAAGGTTGGAAAGACTCCATTACCACACTAGAAACCACAGTAAAGTTGCCAGACTGGTCTGAGAATCTTGGAATCATCAGAAAGTGCATTGATTCAATTGTTGAAAAAATCCTTACACCTCCAGCAAAGGTCACACATACATTTATATGTTATTGCATGCGCTTCTTCTGTCAGCAGCAGCAATGCTGAAACGGAAAATGATTAAATTGATCTTAATTTACATTGCAGGTCTCATGGTCCTACACTTATACTAGACCTGGTTACACCAAAAAGCAACACCATTCTGTCCCAAAGGATTGGTGGACAGAGGATATATCAGACCTTGATGTAGACCTGTTTCGGTGTATAATTACTGCTGTTGCCTCAACGTACATGCTGCCACCGCAGCTCATTGGTGAAGCTTTGCACGTCTATGCTTGTCGTTGGCTGCCAGACACCACGAGACCACCTCCACAAACAGATGAGCAATTTATGGAGAAGAATCGAAGAATTGTTGATACCATTGTGAGTATGATTCCTGGAGATAAGAGAGCAGTTTGTGTTGGATTCTTGCTAAGGCTTCTTATAGTTGCAAATTACTTAGGAGTGTCTCCAGTGACAAAGACAGAACTATTAAGGAGGTCCAGTCTACAACTCCAAGAGGCAACAGTGAATGACTTGATTTCTCCATCACACTCGCCCACTGACCCAGAATTTTACGATATTGACTTGGTTGTGGCAGTTTTGCGAAGTTTCTTGGTGCTGTGGAGAAGACAATCCCCTGCAGCTGCTTCTGCTTCTGAATCAAACGGCAGCAGCGCCCAGTTTTTGGGAACAATGAGAAAGGTTGGGAAGCTCATCGATTCTTACCTTCAAGTCGTTGCCAGGGATGCCAACATGCCAGTTTCAAAACTGGTATCTCTGGCTGAAGCTTTGCCAGATATTGCAAGGGAAGACCATGACGACATTTACAAGGCTATTAACATTTATCTAAAGGTGATTCATTAATTAAACTGAATGCCATTGCCAATGCCATAAATAATATCAATACATGATAATCAAATTAATGAGCATGCTAAGAACATTACCTGCTTGATTATATATGATATCTATATTTATTATTAACTTAAGCAGGAGCATGGTGATCTGAGCAAGACAGACAAGAAGCGCCTCTGCCGCATTTTGGACTGCCAGAAGTTGTCGCCCGAGGTACGCGCTCATGCTGTGAAAAATGAGCGGCTACCATTGAGGACTGTTGTTCAAGTCCTCTTCTTTGAACAAGACAGAGACAGAGCTTCCAACTCCAAGGCAGCAGCAACTCATGATCATCATCATAAACATAAACTACCGCCACTTATGCCCTCCCAGTCCCAGTCCCAGGAGCTCTTTTCCACAGGAAAACAAACAGTTCCAACTAGCAGAGAATTAGATATTCATAATGGTCATGGTCATGGACATGGTAAGCTAAAATTGGGAGCAGCAGATCATCATGATAAATTCACTAGTAGTAGAGGGGATCACAGCACAAGAAGAATCAATGTTGCTGGAAAGAAAGATTATCCGCTGCATTTGCAAACAAAAAGATCAGATGGAAAGTTTCCCGTGGGAACCGAAATAAAGATTGTTAGCTCAACAGAAATACAAGAACAAGTAGAACATCAACTAGAAACGGGATCTGGGAGCAAGTTGGATGTTAAGAGGATGATACAAAGGGGAAGTAGATCGGACCATGGCCGCGACAAAGGCAAAGATAGATAGCAAAAACGTACATCAACATCGACCTTTCCTTCTTCCCTTTGCACTTGTTGTAATTAAGGTTTTCCCTATTCATAAAATCTGTCAGTTAACGATCTTATGTTATGAGCCCTCGTCACCATTTGTGTCATAAACTTAAAGGGTTCTTGCTGTGGGGAATACCAGAATAGCTAGTTTTACTAACTATAAGAAGAAGTTGATAAGAAAAAGGGGTCCAGAGCTGCATATGCAAGCACTCATCCTGTCATCCTAAATAAGTCTAATTCTAAACTAATCAGGCAAACAGAGACTACATTATATGGTTATTAAAGTCCCATAAAATCAAAGTTGCCAATCTGGTTCAATTGGCCTGCGTAAAATAAGATAACTATTGTGTGTGAATCGTGATGGTAACGACACCTTATCAACACTACGTTATGAATATACTTAAATTATAACACATTCAAGACTTCAAAGATTTGATTCGTACATTAATTGTGTAATCGATACAGCTTGGACAAGTCAAGCTGAGCTCGATTCATTTAAGAAACGAGTCAAACTTGAGCCTAGGCATGTTTGGTTCATAGAGCTTATAATTAAAATTTGAGCACTGTGAAATAAGCCAAATCAAGTAAAAATGTCGATAAATTTTGAACTTTAGCACTGTGATATTCAGTTTTTACACCCCAATTTGTTATGTGACATGCGTCGGCCTTTTGCTTGCTAAGTTGCTAGCCTAGCCTAGCCTATGTGCACTCTCGACACAAGGCAGCAACAAAAAAAGTCAGTCAGGGCTCAGGACTTGGGAGCAGGGGTTGTAATTTCGGGCACAACTCATTACACGATTTGAAATTCACATGAAAAATTAGCAGGTTCAATCTATACTATTAAAATTCAGGTCATTTTTAGGTAAATTCGACATGACCCGTTCAATAAACAGGTGGATTTCAAGTCAATTCGTCAACCCATTAAAATACCTATGTAACATATTTAACAAAATGGGTCATAATGGGTGGTCAATCTGCTAAAATGCCTATTAACCAGCTAAAATACTTATATAACCCCACAACCCTGAACCCTAAATCATAAACCCTTAAAATACTTATATAACCCACCAATCCATTTATTGATTTATTCTTATTTATTTAATATTTTAAATATTTTTTAATTACTATCACTTAATGTGTCAACTTGACATGACCCAAAATCTACACGAAAAATTAATGGGTTAAATCCGTGCACATGACACGAGAGAACATGAGCAAAATTAAAGCCAGCGAAAAAGACAAAGCAGTCCACAACTCCAAACCAAACCCGGAATAAGGTTTTTAGCACAGTAATCATTTCCGGGCCTTCCCGCCGGTGACTTTCCCCTCTGCTTTCTCTCCTCCCCGGTACCCTTTGTTTGATTTTCTTTTATAATGTGAGCTTTCCCTTTTCGTTGGCTTAGGGTTCTTTTGCGTCGTTTGTATATAATAAAAGATCCTAAACCCCCAATTTTGTTTTCTTTAACGTTCTGACGTTTCCACAGTGAATAGTAAAAAGGGCGTTTCCAACATTCAGCGGAGTTGCAGAAAATCTAGCCATGTCGGAGAAAGGAGGAAAAGGGTTTTCTTTGCCTACTGGCAAAGCAGTAAAATCTTCACTGAAATCTACCCCTTCTACAAAGGATGGTCTGCTTTTTCTTCGCTCTTTACTTTTCTTAACTTGTAATGCTACTCTTGCCTTTTCTTCTTTTTTCCCTTTTTCTCTTTAAGACATTAGATAATTCTGTCTCTGTAGCTTCCTTGAAAGGGAAAGATGATAGCTCAACAAAGTCCAAGAAGGGGAGAAAAGTCCAGTTCGATTCTGAAGGTTGATCATGTTTCTACACTCTATCTTTTCCTATTTAACTTATTCTCATATTTTAGTCATGCATGTGCTTATCTTCTTCAATCGTCAACATCTATAATGTTGGTACTTGAATTTACAGGTTTGCATGAACCCAAATCCAACTTCTCGTCAAAATTTGATAACCCAGCTGCTGCCTCAGGGAAAGGTCTGATATTGTTTGAAATTCAGTATTCTGATGAATATCCATTTTGATCACTCATCTGATGTTTTCTTGTTCCCTTTTCACAAAATGTGATTTTTTAAGCTGATTGGGGCAAAGGGGGAAAAGGAGACAAGGTTGGAAATGGCAGAAAGAAAGAACCACAGCCACTGGAGCTCAAAATTGAGCAGGGTGAGCACTTTCCTTGGCTGTATTTTTCTGCTATAACATGTTATGTTTACTTACTAATTAAATATACACCGACTACTATAGTATCTCAGTGTTCAGTTCTGTGTGTTTCATAATATCAAATAATTGTCATTTTTGTTAATGCTTGCAGAACTGCCACAGAGTGCCAAATGTCTGATGGATTGTGAGGCTGCGGATATATTACAAGGAATCCAGGAGCAAATGATCCTGTTGTCTAAAGATCCTACTATTAAAATCCCTGTGTAAGAATGAAGTTAATTATTTCTCAATAGAAGAATGGCAATTGAGAAAATGGTTGTTGGCTATAGCAATCGATGTTTGTTTTGTGTATATGAAGTGCTCCAGTTGGTTTGCTTTCAGATCATTCGACAAGGGACTGCAGTACGCCAAAAGAACCAGCCACTATACCAATCCCCAATCTGTCAGAAAAGTTCTTGAGTATCCTTGATTGGTTCCTTTACATTTATATGTTCATGGGCGTGTGTGTATGTGCGTGCTTGAGAATGCTTGATTTGTTCCTCAAGGTTATATGTATGTTTAGATGAACATCTTTCTTTGCCATTGAACTCTTAACTTGAATATTAGGACTCTCACAAAATATGGTGTCTCAGATGGCGAGGTTACAATCTCAACCTTTGGTATTAGTTTTTAAAATTTAAGCAATGGTATTTGATATTAATTTTCTTGCCACAGATAAGTGTGATTGCCAATGTTTGTCCCGAAACCACTGATGAAGTTTTTGCTCTAGTACCATCCTTGAAGGTAGAGTAATGTTCATAAGAAGATTGTAATTTGTGGCTGGTATTTTCTTTGACCGTATTGAATGATCCAGATAGAAATTTTTAGTTTATATATATGTGTGTGTGTGTGTGTGATTTTTGTTTTTTTTAATGCTTTAGTTCTACTCTGGAATATCTCTACCGTGTTTCTATTTTGTCAGAGTTTTCTTGTTTTTGATGTGAAGGCTGAAAAAGGCATAAGTGGTTTTCACTCCTTGAATTAATTGCAATTGAAAAATTGATATCCTCCAATCTCTTATTGGAATGATATTATTTCCAGATGTATTTTTATCATCAATGGTCCATGAACTATGCGAAATTCATCAATTTGATCACTTTTGTTTTTGGTCTGAACATCAAATTGGTCACTGAACTTCAAAATTAATCAATGCCATCCCCATCTTAGGGGCATAGTTGTCAAACTAATTAGAACCTACATCTCCCATCTCTTGATCCTTACTCATGGCCGCATCACCTCTTTCTCCCTCTCCTTGCATCGTTCGTCTTTCTCTCTCAAGTTTCCTTTTCCCCTATTTTCAGTTTCTGTATGTTTCTTTCGTCTCCTCTTTTTTACTCTTTCTGATTGAGCCACCAGAAACCTTCTTCTGAGTCTCCCATGGATCCCTTTGGATTTTTTCATTTCCATGTATGCATTCTTCTTTCCAGCTGCCTATGAGCCTATGATAATGCTTGTAACTATTAGTTTCCCGTGGAACTGTTAAGTTACTGAAAATTCTACTTCTTGAATTTCTGCATATGGACTGTTTATCTCTATTTTTGTTTTCTAAGTGTGCTTACGAAAGCTATTCAATTTTCCCTTGACTAATTCGACAGTGTTTTTGTTTTTCTAATCACTTGAAGCTAGTAGTTTATAATAATATTAATTTTTTTCTTCCAGACTACGAGAAGCGTGCTCAGCCAACCGCTCAAAGAAGTCTTAAGTGAGCTAACTAAGCTTAAACAGTCTACATAAGAAAACTCTTAGAAGTGATGATGCCTGGTAAGATATATTAATTTACATGTTGCTTTTAAATGGTATTATCTTGCTGCCTTGTACGTAGTATGATTGGTTGGGTATTCTGGTAAACTGATGCAGGCTACTGGATGCAAATGGCACTCATATGGAGGGATCTTGCTTTGTGTAGTATCAAGGGTAGAGCGGCAGCATAACCTACTATCCTCATGTGACATGTATTAATGGTCTTTGGGAATTTTGTATGAATTTCCTGGAACTGGAGATGCTGTGGAATTTCCTTCTCCATAGCTGCTCTCCTTTGACTGGTTCTTGATAGTAGTTTTCTTCTATGTTTTGCATGACGAATGTGAATTTTACTGGATGGTATGTTGACTTTAACATCAATAGAAGTAGAGAGATATCTTCTTCTTTTTTTTCTTTTTTCGGTGAGGTAAGTAAGTAGAGAGAGATCGTTGGCCGATTTGATGGCGAATGTGAATTTTACTTGGATTTCTTCAGTTCATGCATTTTTTGACGATTTTCCTCAGGAATCATACATTTTTAAAGAAAAGGTCAGCAATATCATGAATAAAGGGGAGACGAGAGAGGGGAAAGTATTTTGTTTTGGTGCTTCATTCATTTTGCACCTTGGATTTGGTGAATTGATTGAGGCCTGTCTGTCCTCCTGTAATCAAGTCTTAACTTAAGGGTAGTGATTTTTCCACACCAATTTTATTCACGTACATTCCTTTTTTAGTTATAAAATGAAGTGTAAGTGGATAAAATTGAAGTAGGGAAATCACCACTCTAACTTAAACTCAACCATTTGGCTCTCCTCGAATGGGTCCACTCCAGTGCGGAAAAGACCTCTTCAATTATTCATTTCTAGGTATTGATTTGAAAAAGAAAAATTAAGAGAAAAGAAAAGAAGAAATTTATATTTCGGGATTATTTTGTTTTAATTTGCTATGCCCCTATGCGTACGTACTGTATGCCTGCCTCTTCAATTCTTTCTTATACGGGAGAAAGAATGTGAACATTTTGTCCTAAAAAGAAAAAGAATAAGAAAAAGAATAAGAAAGGAAAAAGTGAAATATCATATAATATTCTACTAACCATCATCAGAAGATGAAGGGGGAAGTCCAGTGGAAATCGGTGCAGAGAGCAGTTATAGTTGGCAAGTGAGAAGGTACAGTCAACCATAACCATCATCAGAAGACCATTCAGAATGGGAAAAGAAGAAGAATACCAAGAAAGGGAATCAAACGTCGAAACAGATGAAGAAGAAGAAGATGATGATGATGATGATGAAGGGGAAGAGAAATGGAGAATGCACTACTCATCGAGGCATAGGATATTGCTGGTGGGAGAAGGAGACTTCTCCTTCTCTCTTTCTTTAGCCACCCATTTTGGATCTGCCCGCAACATGGTAGCCACTTCTCTCGATTCCCAGGGTAACCTCTCCTCCTGCCTCCTGTTTTACCAATATATATATATATATATATATATATTATTTTTTTTCGTTGAATCTTTATTTTATTTATGCGCTTGGAAAAAAAGACGGGAATTCCAGTCAAGATTTTGATTTTGATTGTTATTCTTATTTTATTTATTTGCAGAGGAGATTGATAGCAAGTACAGTAATGCAATAGGGAATGTGAGGGAGCTTGAAGAAAGGGGATGCATAGTGATTTACGGAGTGGACGCCAAGCAAATGAGTCAACACTTCTTCCTCAGCACTCAGAGGTTTGACAGGATTGTCTACAACTTTCCTCATGTTGGCTTTCTCTTCCGGGAGGATAGCTACTGCCAGATCCAGTAACTCACTCTCTCTACTTATTATAACTACTTTTCATTATCTCAATTCAATTCAATTTAATTTAATTCATTCATTGCCCTTTTAATATCATTTTATTTGATTAAATTTTCTACTTTGTTCATGTAAATTTGATTGATGGATGAAACCCCAAATAATTATTTATAATTAATACCTCTACAACTACTTCTTACTACTACTACTACTACTACTACTAGGTTGAACAAGAGGTTGGTGAAGGGTTTCCTGCAGAATGCTAAACTTCTGCTGAGAAAAGATGGTGGAGAGATTCATATAACCCACAAGGAAGGTCATCCTTACAACAAATGGGATTTAGTGAGGAAAGCACACAACATAGGGCTGCTTCTCACTCAAACTCTGCCCTTCCGCAAAGACGACTATCCCGGTTACGACAACAAGAGAGCTCATGGTACCCTTTCCGATGCCTCTTTCCACCTTGGCGATTGCACTACTTACAAGTTCAGGCTGCCTCCTTGTTAATCCCCCCTTATTTTTAGGCCCTAGGCTTTTAGCCTTGCTTCTTAGTTTCTTATGAACACCAAGAAGCCCCTTTCTTTTTATGTGTGTGAGTGTCATCGACTGAATCTATGATTTACAAGATTACAAGATGGTGTGAAGAACATGTATTATTATATTCAACTCTTTTTCTTTACTACAAAATACACATTATATATTTTAATAATTCAATACCACACGTCTCTTGCATGATACCCGAATTACACACCTACATTAGATCACTATACTACTTATTTATCACCTAGTCCTATACTCAGCATTCGTTTAGTTTCAGAAGAGGGGGCCGCCAAAAACCCACTTAAGAAACCACTTTTCACATTACAAAAAACCATACCCTCCATGCAATCAGCATCCAAACAATGACCCACCTCCTGTATACTTGAGAACTAGAACTAGAACTAGAACTAGACCTAGTATCCGTAACGCCAACCAGAAACCTGCAGTCACCAATAGAAGGGTCAAGGAAGGTGACCATACCAAGCCCATCAAAATCACAGCTCCGTTCATTCTGCATTTGCAGCTGATAGTAACTGTTGAACGCATACGAGATGTTTCCCTTTGCTCCAATTCCGTTACATGACCCCCCATAGGTGAGCGTGGTGCAATCTGCAACACCACATGCAAGTTTCATGTGGTTTGCCACATCTGACAAATCCCTAGATGGGTTTGCCACACACCACCTAGATGGCAGATACTCAACTTTTCTTGCATTTTTTAATCCTCTGCCTCCTAAACCAAGGTTCAATGGATATTTAGCCTGCCCATCAAAGGAAAACATCCCCCAGTGCCTTTCAAAGTTTCCTGGGAGTGTGCTCTTTGCTCCTTCATCCAGCAGACTGAAAAGATATACATCCACGGGAGGGACACCTGGCCTTAGAGGGGTTCCTTTGTTACTTAGGACATGATTTATGAGACCTTGGTTGAATACCCTTGCAGCAGTGAGATTCCCACTGATGGCTCCATCAGTGGGCCAACCAATCTCCCCAATAGCTATGGGCATCTGACCATATCCGAGCTTGCTGAGGGCCGCGACTAGCGTGTCAAAGTTTCCATCAAATGCATTGTAGTAAACATTGGACCCATCTGTAACAGGATGGCTTGTCCCTTCGAAGAATGCATAATCTTGAGGAAAATCTGAGCTTCCATAGAGACTTAGAAATGGGTAGATATTGACTACAAAAGGAGAACCATTTGAGTTGAGAAACGAAACGAGTTGAGTCATAATTTGTGTCAGTTCAGGTCGAAATGCCCCTTGAGAAGGAAGAGAAGACTCATATGCATCAGCATTGCAAGGGACAACTAACTTCACGTAGCTTGCAAGATTCACTTTAGCCAACGACTGTTGTAGATTGAGCAGTGCAGGCATGACATATGATTGAAATTGACCGGAGTAACTTGAAAGGAAGGGCTCATTTCCTACTGCAATATACCTGCAATCATAAGACAAGAATTGAATAACAGAACTCTATATATGTGTGCAAAAGTTTAAACAGATGCAGAAGAAACAATTCTTACTCTAACGTTTAAAATATTCAAGTCTTTTTTGAAAAATCGACGTGTCAATTGGAGAATTGAGTTAAATTCCAATGTGAAATGCACTCACTTCCGTCTGGCTCCTATACAGTGAGTTAAATATCCAGGTGGATGTACGAACTCAAGGACACAAAGGTATGATCCTATCTTGTGGCATTCTTAGAGGGGGGTCTAGGAATGTTTCTGTTTCTGTTTGAATAATTTGTTTTAAACAATGAATGGATTTGAATGAACTCGCTCTTGGTCATTATCATAATGAAGAACTCAATGAAGGTGGGCAAAGCATATGCCATATTCCATGGGATGATTGATGTCCTGTTTATAAGAAGCTTGGTATGAAGAATGTAAAAAGCAGTCTGGTTTAAGAAGGTGAACCAGCTATTAGAGCTTCATAGACCATGCGTTGCAGAACAGGGGATTATCAGAAGTTCAAAGTTTCAAACCAAAAGTTACATCTAGTTGAACAATAAATACATCTTGTTAATAGCTAAGCTAGGGGTTAATAATACTGTGAGGTCAGCTTGTTTAATATCAATATGGAACTTTTAAACCAAAATTTATTCCCTAATAAATAGATGAGCATCTTGTTGGCAAGCTGCAGCCTCATATCTCAGGCTGCATAGATCTAGCTGATCACTTGACAAGGAGAAGAGAATGTGATATGAGTCTGCAGAGCAGCACAAGGAGGGATGGTGGCCAAAACAAATGAAAAAAGTTGTCCGGTTTTCATTTTTGAGCAACATCAAACAAGAGCACAAAAGATTGAAAGAAGAAGCAGAGTAAAAAGGAACAGGAGAAGAGGAGGGACCTGATATCGACACCATTTTTACGCATGTATCTGGACACATTCTGGCGAACCCATGAATCAGAGGCAGCAGTGGAAGAGCTCAAGGCGGCCAACATCTCATTGGGGACGCCAATCATGACCTGGATCCCACTGCCCATGAGGGCCTGAAGAGAATCTGGGTCGGCATCGAAAAGCTTGACCTTGGATATCTTGTTGTCTTGCAAGAGATCTACCACTGTAGAAGGCTTGAGCTTGTGGAATGAGACGGTCCCCCAGTTCACTCCTAGGGCTGATTCTGCCACTGGGGCTGAGCTCCAACCCACTACTACTAATAAAGAAAGCAGAGCAGCTGATAATATTCTCAACTTAAACCTGCCTTGTAACATTTTGTCTGAACTGAAAGTGAAAGTGAAAGCCCAACTCCACCTTTGAAGAACCACCACCTCTTTAATCATTCATTCATTTATTCATTCAAGTGGTCGGCCAATGGAAAAGAGAGAGAGGCGCCTGAGCTGAGAGGCGCGTTTGCAGGTGGCGCTAGGCGTGGTGGGTGGTTACTCTTACGAGTGAGCGAGCGACAGAAAGACTGGTAATTGCTAAATGATAGATACGGAAGGAATAATAAACAGCGCAGTGCAACCAACACAGCAAGAAGAAGAGTAAAGTAGAAGCAGCCTGACGATATTTATTTGTCGATGAATGATGATGCACCTAGTGAAATGTCTTATATACCCTCCACCAGCCAGCTTGCCGACTTCCCAAAGGCCAAAACAACAGTATTCGGATTAGATAGAGGGTAATGCTAGCAACATTCTCTCTAACTTTCTCCTTTAGACATTCTCCATTTTTTGTTTGACATGTGTCATTCTCCTTACACTTAAAACAATGTCATTAATATATTATACAAACTAACTTTTGTTTTCCAAGTTTACCCTTATTAAATGTATTCAATTTATCCAAATAAATTTCACAACTTTCTTACCATATTATTAATTTTTTTTAACTTTCATTATTTTTTAAAAGAAAATCTTTTCTTTTTTCAAAAAGATGAAATGTTAGAGAATGTCCAAAAGAAAAGATTAGAGAGAAAGTTACTAACATTCCTCTTAGATAAATACTATGTCGATTTAGTTGGTGAAGTTGAATTTATTCTGGATGCGTAACGATTTCAATTTGCCCCCCTAAAACCCCTCCCTAAAAGCTTAGCTGCTGGAAACTTGTGAAATAACTGGACACATGAGTTTGGTTTTAACTTTTATTACAAACGAGATTCCAGATTCCCTTCCTCAGCAAGTATTCACAAAGGTAGGCCCAAAAAGCAATTGGTTTGGTTCTCTATTTTTCTGTACTTTATCAAAGTGAGTGTCGCATCGCTGCGGGATTATTGGCTGCCTGCCTGCCTATTCGAATTTCATATATATTTTTAACGCAACACATTGATGCTCATTAGCGGATTCCTCCCCAAAACAGCCTTCTCTTGTTTTACTTTATTTTTCCTCCTACTCTCTTCTCTCTCTCTCTCTTGGCTGATTGATTAGCTAGCTCTTTGTCTGAAAATCAGGCTGGTTGGTGACTGATCTGACCCAGGCCCATTTATGGTCTCCAGTATCGACTTCATTTTTAGCCTTTGCGACCTCTTCAAGTGGAATGTATGCATAGTTTCCATTGACGGGGCCAGACACAAACCCAGTATACCCTGCCATGACTCCATGAATGGCTGAATGCGCAACAAGCGTGCAGTACAAGTTATCTGTCGCATTTGCAGGGACGGCGCGTATCATGTAGGTGGGATCTATGTACTTGACTGTGAAGAGCTCATTTGGGTGCTCCCTCCTCCACCACTTGTTTAGCTCCGACTTGAGCCATTGCCCGACGTCCAGGAACACTGGGTTCCCTGATTCATCTCTACCACCAGCGGCCCTTATACTTATGTCCTCCTGTTTCTGGTTCTGAGCATCATCCTCATTAATTCTGTCCATGCCCGTCCTCCTCCTCATATAATCCTGTCCGGCTCCCTCAGCCACCACCAACACTGCATGTCCATTCTCCCTCAATCGCTTCTCAAGGAATTCGAATAGCCCTCCTTTTCCTTCCAGGTAAAATGGAATTTCAGGAATTATGCAGCAGTCCACGTCACGGCTGCTCAATGTTGCATGCAGAGCAATATGACCTGTACTTCGACCCATTAACTTCACCAACCCTATTCCATTCACTGCACTCTCAGCCTCCACATGAGCTGCACTTATTGCCTGCTGCGCCATTTCTACTGCTGTCTGGAACCCGAAAGACCTGTCAATGATACCTACATCATTGTCCACAGTTTTCGGAATCCCAGTCACTGCAATATTCAGTTTTCTCCGACGAATCTCATGAAATATCTCCACCGCCCCGCGCATCGTGCCGTCTCCACCTACAATGTACAGCTGTAGGTACAAACAACATTTCTTATACAATCAATAAATCAATCATATGTAATTTTATATATATATATATATATATATATATATATATACAGAGAGCTTCTATTGAGGAATCCCTCAAATAAGCTTATTTGAGGGACACCCCTTGTAAGCCCCACTATGGATTGTATTTCACTAATCCAAACCGTCTATTTTGTAGATACTAATTCAAAGATCATCTCTACAAAAAATCACTTGAATCCGATATCATTTGACCATTCAATTGAGTTATTGAAATTTTAGTACTTTCTTGAAGCACCGTGTTCATTGATTTTGTAAGACACAATTGGATGTCGAAACGATTTCCGATTTGTCTAATTTTTTATAAGGATGATCTATGAATAAAGACCTAAAAAATATATGGTTTAGATCATTGGAAAAAAAATTGTAGGGTACTCTAAAGGGCGTCCCTTAAATAAAATTATTTGAGGGATCCCTCAATAGAAGGGGACTGATATATATATATATATATATATATATAAGATAAATCAAAGTGAGGTGTGATTTGTAAAGATCTGTAACCTACCTTAATGGACATTACTTATAGGTAATTTGTGAATACGCTTTCTTAAAGTGAGAATGACTTCCTAAAGATAAAAAATAAAAAAAGTTTGCTCAGCTGTGTTAGTCTAGCCACCTTGATACATATTTAAAAATCCTTCCGGCAACAGATCAGCATCTATTGTGTTAGTGCGAATTACATCCATATTTTTTATATTTACCAGCAACCACCAGCTTATCTAACAAAGGTTACCTCTCCAAATTTATGGTACCTAGGTCCAATGTTTTGAAAGGCATGCCTAAGCACGCCTGAGAGCGTGAGGCAAGGAGAGGCGATGGTAAAACGCCTCAAGCGTACCTCTGTTTACCGATTGTTGTTAAAGGCATACACAAGTTACGGAGGAGTACACCAAATTCCAAAAGCGTATGCGTGAAATTGCAGAGGTGTTGCAGAGCGGAGAAGAAGACAAGCAAAAAGCCAGCGTTTCAACATCTATGGTTTTTAAGTTTAAGAACATAACATAAGCTCAGGTCCCACTTCCTCCATTCCTTCACAATAAAAAATTATTATATTAATTAGTCCCTCCTGTGCCTTTTATCTTCTGCTTTCACCCAATAGAAGGTTCACAAAAATCAGATTTCCCTCTGTTTCAATTTTGACTAACTCTCAGCCATATCCACCCGCATATTTCTAACGGAAGCGTCTCTTTCAATCTATTCAAACAAGATGTGAATCCTATCTTATAAATTTGAATTCATATCCAGTCTAAATCAATTTAGGGCTTAAAGAGAGGCTTGAGATGTTTCAATTTATGAATCAATGACCTCACAACATATATGGATCATATGTTTTACATATATATTATTAATATACTAATTTATTTTTATTTGTGATAATTGAATATTCAAAAGACTTATGCCTTATTATCTCAAGGCTTAACGCCTCGCTTTGATAAGCAAAAAAACATTACTATCGTAGTATTCTATAATCACTCGTTACTATAGTAGTATTCTTTAATCACTCAAAAAGAAAAAAGAGAATATATTACTTCATTAGTATATATAAAAGGAATTAATTTATGTACAAGTCGGTAGTAAAGTAATTAATGAAGTAAAAGTAGAAACCTGATTATAGCCGCGATGTTGGATGGCATCGACAATGTTTTGAAGATGGAAGCCACCTCTGGAGGTCTGGAGAATGGTGCCACCGATCTTGTGCCAGTTGTGGACAAGCTTGGGGTTAAGTTGCAGGGGTTCCAATTCCTTAGAGTAAAAGCCACGGTAGCCAGCCTTGATACCGAAAATTTGACGAACAGCGTAGAGGTCCCAGAGGCCAAGAACGAGCTCTCGAACGACGGTGTTGAGGCCCGGGCAGAGGCCACCGCAGGTGACAATAGCGGCCTTTGTGCTTGACACCTGGAAAAAGATTTGGCGTCGTGGGCCACCGCGGTGGAAGGCAGCAGCAGCAGCATCATCATCATCATCATCATCATCTAAGGAAGTAGCAGAAGCAAAACTAGGTTGGTGTTGGTAGTCGTAGACGATGTGGCGGAGGACAACGTCGGACGGGGTTATGTAGAAGCCATGGGAGTGGGAGGGTTGGTAGAAGGGGTTGTCTTCAAGTGGGTTGGTGTGGCTGCTGCTGCTGCTGCTCCTTTGAAAGCCGCCTGATGATGATGATGAGAGATCATCATCACTACTAGTAGTAGTAGTAGTAGTAGCAGCAGCAGCGTAGTAGTCGGTTAGGTGGGGTAGCTTATGGAGCTTCACACGATTAGAGAAAGACAGGTAAATTAACTTATTTCTTGTTGTTTTTGGCTCCGTTGTTCCTGTTGGGTTAATTTGGTTGTGGGAATAATCTGGGTCCGCCTCCATCGTCTCCTCTGTCTAGCTAGCTGATTAAGCTATATATAATCAGTTATTAGTTAGTTTTGTAACTTATTAATTGCTGTTGAAACTGAGGATCAGCACAGCATGTAATGTACGATAAGCCGTTAAGAGAGAGAGAGAGAGAGAGAGAGAGGCCAGGCTCACACAGCGGTGAAGTCTGAACCCGATGGAGAGCAGAAAAGAATAAGAAGAAGAAGAAAGTGCAGGTGGCGTGCCCTCTTTCAACTTGCAAGACAGTAGACACGTGCCCTCCACGTAGCTAGTAATTTGTGTTGCAAGACAATATAGGACGACGCGTGCCCCACTCCAGACGTACGTTGCGATTTCTCGTGGTCGATCGAGGAGGAGTTGCAATTGCAAATTTGCCCCTCCCCCTTCCCATGATTCCCAACACAATACACACAAATTTAATGATCACAGAGAAACAACACAAGACCCAACATTTTGCTGTGGACTCTTGACTTTTGACTCTCGAGTCTTGACACTGTTCAGGAGGAGAGGCAAATTGAGCGCAGCCTGGATATTAATTAATTAAT